AGGCACCTCAACTGCAACAAGCTTATTGCTTACACAGAGACTAAAGGGGATATGAAGCAGTCAGCGCAGTGTCCTCATAAACCGCAGACCCTTACTCTGCATTCTGTTTTTGCCTCCGTGGCTTAGCCATTTTTACCTCCACTCGACAGCCCGACAGCCCTGGAGAGTCTGGGCGGGGTGGGGGGGGGGGGAGGCGGGGTGGGAGAGCAGATAGGTCCAGCAGCCAAGATGGGGCGAGTCACGCTGTCTCAAGCCCTTGGCGTGAACACTGCACCTTGAGAAGGGCCGAGGCGGGCGGATCACGAGGTCAGGAATTCAAGACCAGCCCGGCCAGCATGGTGAATCCCCCGTCTCTACTGAAGATACAATAAATCAGCCGGGCGTGGTGGCTTGGGCCTGTAATCCCAGCTACTTGGCAGGCTGAGGCAGGAGAATTGCTTGAACTCAAAGACAGAGGTTGCAGTGAGCAGATTGCACCATTGCACTCCAGCCTGGGTGATGGGGGAGACTCCGTCTCGGAAAAAACAAACAAAAAATGGCGTTTCGCTTTTGTCACCCAGGCTGGAGTGCAATGGTGACATCTCAGCTCACTGCAACCTCCGCCTCCCTGGTTCAAGTGATTCTCTTACGTCAGCCTTGCGAGTAGCTGGGATTACATGCATGCAGCACCATACCCAGGTAATTTTTTTGTATTTTTAGTAGAGACGGGGTTTCACCACGTTGACCAGGATGGTCTCCAACTCTGGACCTCGTGATCCACCCACCTCGGCCTCCCAAAGTGCTGGATTACAAGCGTGAGTCACCGCGCGCGGCTTTTTTATTTTTATTTATTGAGACGGAGTTTCACTCTTCTTTACCCAGGCTGGCATGCAATGGCGCGATGTCACCTAACCGCAACCTCCGCCTCCTGGGTTTAGGCAGTTCTCCTGCCTCATCCCCCTGAGCAACTGGGATTACAGGCACGCGTCAGTATGCCCAGCTAATTATTTGTATTTTTAGTAGAGTCGGGGTTTCACCGTGTTGACCAGGATGGTCTCGATCTCTGGACGTCGTGATCCACCCGCCTCAGCCTCCCAAAGGGCTGGGAATACAGGTGTGAGCCACCGCGCCCGGCTTTTTTTTTTTTTTTTTTGGAGACCGAGTTTCGCTCTTGTTTACCCCGGCTGGAGTGCAATGGCGTGATCTCGGCTCACGGCAACTCCCGCCTCCTGGGTTCACGCAATTGTCCTGCCTCAGCCTCCTGAGCAGCTGGGATTACAGGCACGGGCCACTATGCCCAGCTAATTTTTTGTATTTTTAGTAGAGACAGGGTTTCACCATGTTGACCAGGATGGTCTCCATCTCTGGACGTCGTGATCCACCCGCCTCGGCCTCCCAACGTGCTGTGATTTCAGGCGTGAGCCATCGCGCCCGGCTTCTTGTTTTTAGACGGAGTTTCGCTCGTGTTTAACCCAGGCTGGAGGGCAATGGTGCCTGGGGGCCACCATTGATGTGGAGCATTCCCACATCCGATTCCTGGGGAACCTGGTGCTGAGCCTGTGGGACTCTGGCGGTCAGGACACCTTCATGGAAAATTACTTCACCAGCCAGTGAGACAACATCTGTAACGTAGAAGTTTTGATTTACGTATTTGACGTGGAGAGCCGTGAACTGGAAAAGGATATGCCTTGTTACCAGTCATGTCTGGAGGCCATCCTCCAGAACCGTCCTGAGGCCAAAATCTTCTGCCTGGTGCACAAAATGGATGTGGTTCAGGAGGATCAGCGTGACCTGATTTTTAAAGAGCGAGAGGAAGACCTGAGGCCTCTGTCTCCCCCACTGGCGTGTGCTGGTTTTCGAATGTCCATCTGGGATGAGACGCTCTACAAAGCCTGGTCCAGCATCGTCTACCAGCTGATTCCCAACGTTCAGCAGCTGGAGATGAACCTCCGGAATTTTGCCCAAATCATCGAGGCCGATGAAGTTCTGCTGTTCGAAAGAGCTACGTTCTTGGTTATTTCCCACTACCAGTGCAAAGAGCAGCGCGACGTCCATCGGTTTGAGAAGATCAGCAACATCATCCAGCAGTTCAAGCTGAGCTGCAGTAAATTGGCCGCTTCCTTTCAGAGCATGGAAGTTAGGAATTCCAACTTCGCGGCTTTCATCGACATCTTCACCTCAAACGTGTACGTGATGGTGGTCATGTCAGATCCGTCGATCCCTTCTGCGGCCACCCTGATCAACATTCGCAATGCCAGGAAACACCTGGAGAAGCTGGAGAGAGTGGATGGCCCCAAGCACAGTCTCCTCATGCGTTGAATAGTGCCAAATGCTCTTTCTGAAGATGCCGAGTTGCCTTTTTTTGTTTGCATCCTTTATTTTTAATATTCATAATGTTGTGTGCTTAAAAGTGGGCTTTGAAGTGTGTGCTGCTTTCTCCTTTCATCTTTCTCCCCTGCTCTCCAGTCTTTAAACCTTGGACGCTACTTGCTCAGCTACCCAGTAGAGCTTGAAGCTGGCTCTTCTGAGAAGATGGTATGGTGTAACACTTTAAGTCGGTGGTTCATGCGTGTTCTGATTACCTGGTTATAATAGATATGCACATCAAAGCCTTTACCAGTATCTTCCTATATTCTGTATCAGATTGCAAAGATGGAATGTTACTATTTTATCAGCAAGGTATTAAAATGCATTTATAAATTCTTCTTGGCTTCATTCATGAATAAACGTGTTAGCAATTTAAAACATGGTCTTATTTGAAGTAACTTCTAAAGTGCTTAATATGTAAATCTAAAGATTCTGACTGCCCACAAGTACTGATGAAGTGGCATATTTGATTTTGTGAGTTTAGCCCCCAGCACTTTAGTGACGTTTGGTAACAGCTGTAGAAGTACTTACGCTGTGTACTCAAGCTAGACTACCTGAGTCAGTATTCTGGTCCCTTCATTTACTAGCTCTCTGAACATGGGCAGAATACTTAATTTCACTACACTTGTATCCTTATTTGTAAAATGTGGCTCAGCATACTACTTCATAGCCAGGCGTGGTGGCTCATGCCTGTAATTCCAGCACTTTGGGAAGCTGAGTTGGGAGGATCACCTGAGACGAGGAGTTCAAGACCAGCCTGGGCAAGATAGTGAGACCCTGTCTCCACACACACAAAATTTTTTTTTTAATTAGCTGGGCATAGTGGTACTTGCCTACAGTCCTAGCTACTTGGGAGGCTGAGGAAGGAGGACTGCTTGAGTCCAGGAGGGAGAGGCTGCATTGAGGCATAATTGTGTCATTGCCCTCCAGTTTGGTTGACAACAATGCAAGAGCCTATCTCAAAAACAACAAAAAACACTTGATAGGATTGTTAAAAGAATTAAATTCAACATGAAAAGTGTTTAGGAATGGTGCCTAGGGCATACTCAGTCTATGTGTTAACTACCATTACCACCTACTGAGCCATTCTTCCCCAAATTACCGGTGTGAAACTTATTTGAATATTTAATCCCTTACTGAATGTCAGGTGTTTTGCCAACACGCTCAGCTAATTTTGTATTTTCAGTAGAGATGGGATTTCTCCATGTTGGTCAGGCTGGTTTCCAACCCCCGACCTCAGGTGATCTGCCCACCTCAGCCTCCCAAAGTGCTGGGATTACAGGTGTGAGCCACCATGCCCGGCAATGTCAGGTGTTCTTAAGCACGTGTGCATTTAGCTTACTGAATCCTCACAACCTATGTGGTAGGTTACTTTCTATTTTAACACGTAAGCAAACTATGACCTTATTAAGGTCATACAGCTAAACCCAGGCAATCTGACTACTGACTCTCCTAATCACTACACCCCATTACTTCCACTGAAAAGTTAACCATAAGAGTCCTAGCTTTTTATTTATTTATTTTGAGATGGAGTCTCCCTCTGTTGCCCAGGATGGAGTGCAATGGCATGATCTAGGCTAACGACAACCTTTGCCTCCCAGGTTAAAGCCATTCTCTTGCCTCAGCCTCCCAAGTAGCTGGGACTACATGCCCAGCTAATTTTTCTATTTTTAGTAGAGAAGGGTTTCACCATGCTGGCCAGGCTGGTCTCAAACTACTGACCTCAAGTGATCTGCCCACGTCGGCCTACCAAAGTGCTGGAATTACAGGCGTGAGCCACCTCACCTGGCCATTTTTTGGTTGTGTTTCTTATCACTTGCATGCACAGACCAGCACTGGTGATGGGTCCCAGCTTTTTAGATATACATTATTCCTTCATATAATTCCAAATTTACACACTGAGTAAGCCGAAGCCCAAGAAGCTAAGCAACCTCCCTCAAGGAAGAGTTTCACTTATTTGGGGCAAGATCACTTTCCCATTTGTATTTATCTGGAAACTGGATAATACTGAACCAGATTCTTAGATCACCTACTTTTGAGGAAGGATTCTGAGGTTCCCAATTTGGATTGGCGATGTGGTGTAGTAAAATCGGAAAACATATCTGCTGAAGTGTCCCATTCCAGTTCCAGCAATGGCTGCCTTATAGATGGAAAAGAAATCTAAGTACTTTAGAGCCAAGAGACTTGTGATCAACTCTAAGCCTCTCATTTTACACCCTAGGTGCTATCTTTGTTATAGGCAATAAATGTAAGTGATAGGGCTTTAGAATTCCTAAGGCTTTATAAAATTATTTAATATTTATTAAACCCTTTCTAGCAGCAGACGTGGATGACACCACTCAAGAAGAGTAAGAAGCTATTCAGGTGTTAATTTATAAATATTAGTTAATTAGAGTCATTGGCAGTAAATTAGTATAAAGACTCCAGATGAGAAAACTGATGCTACAGGTATACTTTTAAAAATCATTTTAAAATACTATGTACAGTAAATCTAGTAATTAAAATGGCAGTAACAAAATATGTTTACCTGAATCGCTGAACCTCTCAAATTTATTTTGTAGATGAGGTTATTAATATACCTTTATATGTCATCATCCTACAGTTTGCAGGGACACAGTTCTTTTTGATATTATATAGGAAATCCCAGAGCCAGATAATATAAAAGATTTATTGAAAACAACAGTATTTAAAACATTTACTAAGAGTCCTATAGAGGATTCTCAAATATTTTAAACATAGGATGCAGACTTGCTATTCACAGTACATTAAGAAAAAAGCCACTTCTAGAGTAACTATGTATCTGCAACATAACACAAAAGAAACATTTACTTCAATACTTGTACATTGAGGAAAACGCCATTGAACGTATTTTAATTTTAGTACACTCGAGTAGGAAAATAATAGCTTTCGCACAGGTCTCCAGAATTCCTGTTTTTCCTTTAGATAAATTTGACTTCAAAGTCAAGAGACTTACAGTAAAGGAAAGGTTTCAAAATACTTGTATTTTTGTTTTCAGTGAAATTTCCCCCAAATGTTAACTTCAACTATTTTTTATTCTACTTGATAACGTTTTTCATGTTTAGCAATATTATACACTTCCCTCTTTAAACATTTAAAATAACTAAAACATTTTAGCATTATCTCAGGTTTTCAAGCTGATGTAGAAGTCAGTTTATACACCTTTGTATCTTACAAATAGTGAATAAAACAAAATGCATTCTATATAATGTCTAATGTTAATGTAACGAGAAATACACTTACAGCAATAACTTAGCCCTCTTTACCATTTATTCCATGATATAGGAGGCAAACAAAACAATTCCAATACTTAAATATTGCTAAAGATGACACATGGCCCTTGGGGTATATGTATGCGTGTGAATGCATACACCCGACACACATTTACATAGGTGTGTATGTATTTATGTATGCACTGCTGTAACTAGAGAGACCGCATGCAACCATAAAAAAAAAATAATAAAAGTAGTGGAATATTAAATGAATAAAAAGACAAATCATAGAAGATTTTAGAGGAGGAGGCACATGGATATAAAAAGCATAGATGAAGACTTCAAGGTGGAAGTCAGATTTGTTCTGAGACTTAAAACAGAGTTGTAATTGTGGTAAGCTAGGAGAGGAAGGCAAGGTATTCCTGCCCCAGGAGAATTGTAAAGCAAGGTTTCTAAAGACCCATGCTCACTGAAGCAGTTCAGTGATGGTAAAAAAAAAATGGGAGATTACAGTGGAAGGGGGAATAGACAAAATCCATTATAGGGATCTTACATGTCTTTAAATTTGGACGCGATTCTAGAATTAACAATGAACCATTAATGGAATTGTAAGCAAGGAAGTGACCCAGTCAAAACAGTTCCTTAAGATCACAAGGCAACTATGCAGGAGATACTGCACAGGGAAAAGGCTGAAGGCAAAAAGCTGCAATCACAGTGGTTTAGGAGAAGAAAGTGATACATGTGAGATAATTTTTGTTTATGGTACTGGCACATGAAGAACAGGAAAGAATGTCAAAAAACTTTCAGCCTATCACAGGTATAACTCACTTAACATTTTTTTAAAACAAATCTAAAATGTCTACAGACATTCTGCTCTTTTGATTCTCAGTAATTAGGGGCTTCTCAGACTTGACTGGCGAAACTGAGCTTCCCTATTGATGGTTCACAATCTCTACCGAAGCATATATGCAACTATGTACCTGCTTCTTAAAAGTACCACAGGGTTAAATGTGAATCTCTATTTCCTAGCAGCACTTCTCACTCTTTGTTGAGCTTAAGAATTACCAGGGAAGCATATTTAAAATATAATTAAGTGAAATCATGCACATTAAGTGTCTAGCAATGGCCATCGCACTTCTGCAGATGCTGGTAAGACAGCCTTACATGCTAAGATTTTCAGATCCTGAGTTTTCTTAAAGCAAACTAAAGAATAGTTTCCCCATAGACCTGCAGAGTCCCTGATTTGTTGTATTAATAAAAGACACAGCAACTTAGTTCATGAAGCTTTTTCTTCCTCCTTTTCCATTACAAAGAAGGCAGTTACAAGTGCTTTCTTTTGTCTTTTCTCACAAAAAGATGAGTCTTCACAACGGGACGGGACAAATATCTTAGAGACAGGTAGCCCAAGATAAGTGAAGAAAGATGACTGTTGACTGTTAAGCCACATACTTCCATAAATTTCCCCTCCACCTTCTCTCCTTGCCAGTTCCTTGGGGGCTAGTGGACAAGACTTTGATGGTTGTGAGATGGGGTCTATGAAGGGCACTGTAGGTTAAGAAAACTGTCCAGTGCCTGATCCATTCCTCCTGGTTTACAGAAGGCGACAGTATGTGTTCACTTAGATGCTAGACACAAGTCTTTCTCCAGGCAGGGCATCTGAAGGAATGAGGTAGGAGACTGTAGCAGCGTGACAAGGTATTTAACTCCAAGTTCCGTTTTCTCAAGTTCTTGTGAGGCTATTCTGTAGGGACTGAGGAATTTTGATGATTCTTCCTTGTTCCTCTCCCCCAACAGGGGGTACCTCAAAAAAACCCAACAACAATAAAACAGACTAATGAAAATTTTAATTTATATTTCTTGTTAAAATATTAAACTAGGATTAAATTATCGAAGTCTAAATTAGACTAAACATAAATGTTATACAACCCACTGGATGGATTTATAGTTTGACAGTGTTCCTTGCAAGTGTCTACTCATCTTCTTCCATCTTTTTCCGTTTTTTACATCTTTCCGCCCCAGTCTTCCCTTAATAATCACATGCACTTTATTCTACTAAACATCACTACTTGGGATCATTCCACTTCAATAATCATGAAGCCTGTTTAGAGCTTTTCCAGTCTTAAAATTTGTCATCTTGACTACACCTCCCAAGGCACTACTTTTCTCACTTTTTCTGGTTAGCCAGAATGTTCCACAAAGAAACAGTAAAAGATTAGTAAATTCAATGGCTATTAACCACTTAGTGGTTAATACAACAAAAACTACTCATCCTTATATTAACTGACTTAAGTTATAAGAATTATACTAGTACGTTATCATTTACGCTTAATGCTTACAAGATTACTCAAGAAATCAAAATGACTTCCCATTGCTTGACATTTGCTTTCCAAATACTTCAAATTTCAATCTCATACACCTACGAAAAGAAAAAAATCCAAACATACTTTCCTTACCTAAAAATATTAAAGAAGGCTAAAAGACATTTGGAATTTTTTTTAAACCTTGAAAAACAGTGCTACGCTTCCAACATGTCTTTAAGTTATAAATCAGTTTCCATCCTGTGGCATAGCTTCAATTTAAGCGCATCATAGTCATATTAAATAGGTATGTCTTCAACTTGTCAAGTCAGATGGAGGTTCTTTTGCATCAAGGCTCTTATTCAAAATGTCTTCTTCTGCAAATTGATTTAAAAAAGAAAAAATGTAAAGTATAAGCAAATATTACAAAGAAAATAAACAGGACAGATTCCAAGCAGTAGCAAACACTCAATTATGATAAAATTACTATTATTCTCACCAAAGTACCCTCTTTCTCCAAAGATCAATACATTCGTCCTAGAATACTTTTTTTCCCCCCTGAGACAGGGACTTACTCTGTGACCCAGGCTGGAGTGCTGTGGCATGATCACAGCTCACTGCAGCCTCAAACTCCCAGGCCCAAGCAATCTTCCCACCTCAGCCTACTGCGTACCTGGGACCACAGTCATGCGCCAACATACCCAGCTAATTTTTTAAATTTTTTGTAGTGATACAGTCTCCCTGTGTTGCCAAGGTTGATCGTGAACTCCTGGATTCAAGCAATCCTCCCATCTTTGGCCTCCTAAAGTGCCGGTATTGCAGGCATCAGCCACTGTGCCCAGCCAAATACTTTTCAATGTAATAGTGTATAACTATTATGGGCAAATCAGAGTGATATGTAATAAATCTGCATCACCAGATCCTTATCAGTCCTAATGAGCTATAAGAGCAATTTTTTAAACCTTTTATGAGGAAAATGTTCAAACATACAAAAGGTAAAGAAAAGTAAGATTAACTCAATGTAGCCATCACCTAGCTTCAACATTTATTAATACTAACTGCTGAAAACTGAATTGTGTCCCCCAAAAAGATATGTTGAAGTTCTAACTCCAGTACCTCAGACTGTGACCTTATTTGGAAATACAGTCATTACAGATATAATTAGCTAAGAAGCGGTCATACTGGAGTAGGGTGACCCATTAATTCGCTAATATGACTGTGTCCTTCTAAGACACAGACAACAAGGGAAGAATACCATGTGACAATGGAGGCAAGGGTTAGAAATTACACTGCCACAAGCCAAGGAATGCATGGCGCTACCAGAGGCCAGAAGAGGAAAAGAAGGATCCTCTTAATGGCTTCAGAGGGAACATGCCCTTTCAACGCCTTGATTTTGGACATCTAGCCTGTAGGACTTACTGTCTCCAGAGACAATAAACTTCTGCTGTTCTAAGCCACCCACTTTATGATACTGGGTTATGACAGGCTAGGAAACTAATGTACTAACCTGGCTTCTTTTATTTCTACTCCCCACTCCCACCAAATTTATTTCAAAGGAAGTAAGAGATATTACACCATTACAAGGCTGATATTTAAAATTGTGTTTCTCAACTTTCTAAAAACCACCTTCCACTGGACAAGATTTTGATGACATTTACCTTTTCGGTCATTTGTATTATAAAACCAGTAGCTTCAGGTTGGGGGCTTTTTTCTCCACCCTCATCCCAAATCAATTCTAACTATATATACATCAACAGAGATTCTAAAAGGACCTTTACAGTAAGAGATTGTTCCCTTCATCCTAGATGAAGGAAGGAGGAGCACATTAGCAATAAAGGTCGGCCGGGCGCGGTGGCTCACGCCTGTAATCCCAGCACTTGGGGAGGCCGAGGCGGGTGGATCACTTGAGTTCAGGAGTTCGAGATCTGCCTGGCCAACATGGTGAAACCCCGACTCTATAAAAAAGAAAAGAAAAAAAACAATAAAGGTCATGCAGCATTCATTATGTATTGGTTTTATCAAAAGTTGAGAGAAAACTTCAACAAGTGCATATGCATAGGTCTAGTTAAACCCTACCTTTTAAATTAGGTAGTTCTCCAAGACTACATGATATTGTGGTCCTCAATCTTTGTTCCACTGGAGAAAACTTAATTAGTGGTGAAAGAGACTGTTTTCTTTCACCAATGGACATGCGTAACGATGGCTCTGTATGGTCAGTACGCAAATCATGGGTGTCCAAAAAGTTAAGCATAGCCTCTGTTTGTACATTTTGGGTAGTAGGACTCAATACTGGTTTGTGTCTTTCAGGTGTTAGGGGATTCCGGAGGTAAGATTCTTCCCTTTTCTTGGAAAGCCATTTCTTTAGAGCCTCATAGCTACTGCAAAGAGCCTGAATATTGAAGTCTGATTCTGCAGTAGTCTGTCTCCTTTCCACAACATGTTCTAGAAGAATGCCACCACGCATAGGACTATTTGGCTCCAGTTTAGAATTGGCCTCTGAACTACTGGAACTATTAAAACTTAGGTGACCACCTTCTTCCGGAAGAGTTTCATGTAATATGCCAAAATCAGTATCTTTAAAACTCTCAGAACTAATTCCACTTGATATCTGAAAAGAGTTCCACAAGGCAGTTTTATTTGTGGAAGGCTCGTTACAAGAAGCTTGCAAGTGGTCCAGCGTTTTAGTATACTCCTCTTCACTGCCACGCATCACATCTATCCTGTTGCCGACAGCAGGGGAGAGTGTCTCCATTTAGCTAGTTTCTGAAAGCTTGGTTCAGGCTATACATTCGAAATCTTGCTTGCAAATTACTTTCTTCTTTAACAAACCTGACTGATTTTGTGTTAGCGGTTCATCTATGTGACTGGTCACCACATGTTTCTGAGGCACACACTTGCAATCTGAAACACCTTTCTCTTCAGTCGAATGAGACTGGCCAAAATCTGATACACTGGTTTCAAAGAGAAAATCGGCCATGCTAAATTCTCTTTGATCAAGCAACACAGATTCTGGCAATACTTCTCTATGCTCAGTATCCATTTGAATGGGTTCTGTGGTTCTGTTTTCTTCCATTTCAATAGCTTTTCTCCATGAACTCCTAATTTCATTTACTAATTAAAAGGGGAGAAAACACAATTTACTAACATTCCCAAACACAGAGCATGCAATGAATCATTTTATTTCTAACACCGAAGATAAAGCTCCTGACTCAGTATGTGTTCTATAAATATACTGGTTGGATGACAAGGCTCCAAGATATAACAAATCCCACCATCAAAGAACCCCATCTCCAACTGATCACACACAAATAAACACATATAAAGACAGACGTTCCTGAAATGTGCATCAACTTTTATATAGCACATACGAATTGCATGTATTAAAAAGAAATTTTCTTGTCCATCTAGGCCACGGTTTGGCAAACGTTTTCTATAAGGGCCAGATAGTATTATGTTAGGCTTTGCAGGCCATCCATTCTGTCTAACTACTTAACTCTGCCATGACAGCATGAAAGTAGTCATAAACAATGTCAGCAAATGAATACGCTTATGTTCAATACAATTTTATTTACAAAAACACACAAAGTGGGGCCCGATTTGGTTCAGAGGCTGTAGTTTCTGACCTAGGCTGTGGCTGAGTTCAAACCAAATTAAATCAACAGCAAAACAGAAATTATTTAATTACACAACCAAGATGACGTGCCTCCTAAGGACACCAGTATCAGAGCTTTGCCTACACAAATTACAGGTTATGGGGAAAAAGGTATTGGGCAGTTTGACTCATTTAGGAGGGTTTATGGCTAATGCTTCTTGTTGATAACTGAAAGAACAGAGCCTCTGTATTCTATAAATATGTGCATAACAGGTCAGACCTGGAGACAAGAGATTTTTTTTTTTTTTTAAGACGGGGTTTCACCATGTTGGTCAGGCTGGTCTTGAACACCGGACCTCAGGTGATCCGCCCGCCTTGGCCTCCAAAGTACTTGGATTGCAGGCGTGAGCCACCACACCCGGCCGAGAATTGTTTAATGCTCAAATAAGATCTTTCTAGATAAAAGCCAAGGAAAACAACAAAAACAAAATTGTGTATTATCAAAATGTTATATCTCTCTGTATAATGCATACACTAAAGGCACAAAATACTGCTAAAAGACTGTTAGGTGAGAATGCCCATACTTAGTATGTTGATAAAAGTGCCTTACAGCAGCATAAATAAAAAGTCATTGCCGCCAGGTCCGGTGGCTCACGCCTGAAATCCCAGCACTTTGGGAGGCCGAAGTGGGCGGATCACGAGGTCAAGAGATCCAGACCATCCTGGCCAACATGGTGAAACCCTTCCTCTACTAAAAACACAAAAATTAGCTGGGCGTGGTGGTGCGCACCTGTAATCCCAGCTACTTGGGAGACTGAGGCAGGAGAATTGCTTGAACCCTGGAGGTGGAGGTGGCAATGAGCCGAGATCGCACCACTGTACTCCAGCCCGGTGCCTGGCGACAGAGCAAAACCCTGTCTCAAAAAAAAAAAAAAAAAAAAAAAAAAAAAAAAAAGTCATTGCCAACTAAGCTAAAAAGATCTATCAGGCCATGGCTGTAACAGGGGTAATGTAAAGGAAAGACAAAAGAGTTACAGAGAGCATTATTAACTTACTCAAGTTTTCTGGAGTGCGGGGAATCTGATACCTTGTTAAGAAGGGGTTAGAACCCAGAGAGTCAATTAGTTCCTCTAATTTTATTTCTTTTCCTTCAGAGAACTGTGGTGCATCAGATAAAACTGCTCTGGCAACCTAAAACAGAAAAGAAAAAGTAGAGCAAAGATGACCAAGCCCGTTGGTAGAATGCAACAAACCCCTGATAAGCACTTCATGGTCAGCAGCCCCTCCCTTTGCAGACAGCACAAAAATAAGCAACAGAGAAGTTCCCAGACAACTCTGTAGAGACCATCTAGGTACAATCCTGTAAACAGAAATGATACTCTAAAGCATTTCCTCATCTTAAATGGAGAGCCAATATAAAGGAAAGAATACATAACAATCTTTTTTTTTTTGAGACGGAGTTTCGCTCTTGTAACCCAGGCTGGAGTGCCATGGCGCTATCTCGGCTCACCGCAACCTCCGTCTCCTGGGTTCAGGCAATTCTCCTTCCTCAGCCTCCTGAGTAGCTGGGATTACAGGCACGCGCCACCATGCCCAGCTAACTTTTTTTGTATTTTTAGTAGAGACGGGGTTTCACCATGTTGACCAAGATGGTCTCGATCCTTGACCTCGTGAATAAAAAAAGAAAAAAAAAAGAAAACCAGTACTCTCTCTACTCTGCCTCACTGCCTAGAGGTCTATCCAACAGGGCAAAGTTACCTACTTCTGCCTTGAGTGAGAAATCCCCAGTCCAGGTTCTTCTCTCTCCAAACATATAATCACCTAGTCACTTAGGTGATTTGACTCTCCACTGCCTTATCCACATCTGTGCTATTTAGAAGAAGATACCTCCTTGGGCCTGAAGCAGCGTTTAAGACGCATTATGAACAAGCGCACTCACCTTTGTGCCGAGAAAAAACGCTCTCTCCTCTAGATACAGTAATCCCAACACCAGAACCCCGGGCTCAGTGAATGAAGAACAACAGACTGGACTTTAGCCCACAGTCACCCTTGGCTGGGCATCTTGGCTGCCACAGGATCTGCACAAGCATACCTGGCAGTCCGGAAGTAACATGCCAGGGGCATGAGCAGAGAGAACTAAGAGGAGCCCACCACTGCCTCAAGACACACTTCCCTTTATTGGGAAGACAGGTGGGACATTAGGAGAAAGGTTTTCTGTTTTCTTTCTTTTTCTTTTGTAGAAAAGTATATTTACTGAGTGCGGTGGCTCATGACTGTAATCCCAGCACTTTGGGAGGCCGAGGCAGGTGAATCACCTGGGGTCAGGAGTTCAAGATCAGCCTGGCCAAAATGGTGAAACCCCATCTCTACTAAAAATACAAAATCAGCTGGGCATGGTGGCACACGCCTGTAATCCCAGCTACTCGGGAGGCTGAGGCAGGAGAATTGCCTGAACCCAGGAGGCGGAGGTTGCGGTGAGCTGAGATCGCACCATTGCACTCCAACCTGGGTAACAAGAGCGAAACTCCATCTCAAAAAAACAAAACAAACAAACAAACAAAAAAACAATCTGTATGTTTCAAGCTCACTACAGAATAAGTGAAGAGATTTTCAAGTAAGACTGACCCTGTTTCCCCACTGTTATCCTGGGAACAGAAGCCCTCGCACATGCTGAGCAGTGCTGGCCAGGAATAGACAGACTCCGTACCCTGATGAGTCCTGGATGTGATCCATGTGAACTGACAGGGTGTGCAGCCCACCCCGATTTGAGGCAAGTGTTCATTTCCCTCCTTACCGGCATCGCGTTGCCAGCATCTTCTCCACACATAAACTGGATCTTTATTGTCATGTTCCGGGCTGATGCTAGTTTGTTAGCAAAGTTCAGCCTCTGTGGGTAGACATAGAGAGGATTTCTGAAAAAGGAGGGATAAAGAATTAATGAAAAAGGTCGAGAGTTTACTTTAACTAAGTTCGCAGCAAATGCTGAGACTTCCATTCCTGGGGTGCTTTTTCCAAAGGAGTTTTTCCTCTTGAAGTGAATTATTATTGGAGGAGAGAGTGAATTACTTGATTCTTCCTCTTAAGTCACAGTCATCTGAAAACAACCCCTATTGCTCTCTCTTTTGCTACAAGTAAAGAGTGCTGCAGCTCACAAAGTCTTAATGTCTTGGAATGTGGAAATCTGCCTAGAGGTAACTGTATCTCTGACAGTCAGATAAAGAAAGCAAAACGGGTCCAGCTCATTTCAAATAAAACTCATGGCCATAGGTGATGGCCTAATGCCATTCTTCTCTTTTTCCCTTCCTAACCTTTATGTAGTAGTCTCCTTTTCTTACTGGCACAGCACTCGTTTTGGCTTCGCTTTCTCCTCTCATCTAAGATGACAGCTCAAACCCCCAAGCTCAATTACTGTATAACAACAACAACATGAATAATATAGCCATTCATTTGACAACTAGAGGACAGGTACTACGCTATGAAGTGCCTGGGTAACTTGCACATGTTTTTCTTTTATTTGCATTATTTGTAGTAGATTCCACTCAAATGTAAGTTCCACAAGGATAGGGATTTTTCTCTGATGTTTCTGATCCACTCATGTATCTCCAGCAGCTAGAAATAAAAATTCTCATATTCCATCTTATATCTACTAAATCAGAATCTGAATTCAAATGCAAATAAAGTGTCAGAAGCACTTTTCTCTTAGACAAAAACAGAAAAACTGTTTGTGCTCCCTCCCTCCCCCCCCCCAGCCCCTCTCTCTTTCTTGAGACACAGTTTTGCTCTTGTCGCCCAGGCTGGAGTGCAATGGCACCATCTCGGCTCACTGCAACCTCCAACTTCCAGGTTCAAGCAGTTATCCTGCCTCGGCCTTCTGAGTAGCTGGGATTATAGGTACCCGCCAACACGCCTGGCTGAATTTTGTATTTTTAGTGGAGAAGGGGTTTCACCATGTTGGCCAGGTTGGTCTCGAACTCCTGACCTCAGGCGATCCATCCACCTTGGCCTCCCAAAGTGCTGGGATTACAGGTGTGAGCCACCAAGTCTGGCCTGTTGGTGCACTTTCAACAGGGTTACTGTTGAAGACTGTTCTGTCATTAACCATCTGAAGATCTCTCAAAAAATTTCTCAAACATCAAGGACCATGATAAATCACTTGTTAATAAGATACACCATGTATCCAATTTCCATTATTGCTATGTCTTTCAGGAAGATCAGAGACAATTTAACAGTTCAAAGTTCACAACCATGTCGGACCATATATTCTAAACTCGACCTGGGGTTGTGACAGTCTCTTCTTCATTTTCTCTGATCTTAGTTCTTATTTATCTGGTCTTGTCATCTTACTATAGAGATTGTTAGATGTCTCCTAAATCCACTAAAAGTAAAAGAAAGTAACAAATAAATAGATGAACAAATAAGAACTTACCAAGGACTTGGTCATTTTTGGCTCTTCGGATGAAGGGGCAGAGATCTGAGAAAACAGATGGGCAGAGGTACAGATGGGAGAAGGAAGTGTGCCAGTGTCACCCATGGACACACACATCAGTTAGTGCCCATGTACCTTGCTCAAAAATTTATTTCTAGAGCTACAACATTAAAATATCATCCCATCATCGCATATTGTATAAAGATTTAAGTGCCAAAGTTTTACCATTACATGGTTAATAAAAAAGAAAGATTAGATTATCCAACACGGTGGCTGCCAAAAAAAAAATTAGAAACATTTAAATATCCAAGAATTGTGGATTGCTTAAATATTTTATAAAATATCCAAAGGACATACTGTTCTATTACATTATCATACTATCTGATTTCAAAGGCCCTTTTACGTTATCACCAACCCTAGTACCTAACTCCCCATTCTCACTCTTTAATCTGCTCTAAGTGTCAATTGCTACCCAGTGACTCTACTCCCAAAGCCATTACTGAAATCTCAGATTCCCTGATTCCCATGCCTTGCCGCCCGTGAGCCCTGAATCATTCATCCTACAATTCCTGATCGGAGAGCCTTCAATTCCTCTACTCTAATGGTCCTGGCTCCCTACCAATCATTCCCATGTCCCCATGACTGGCCTCCATGCCTGTATCTCCATCAGACATCCTAAGAGTCCCAATCCTAGGCACACCTGTACCTGCACTGGGGCCTTAGCACACAAACACATCTCCCACCGCTGACAAAACTAGGCCATAAACTCCTCCACACACGCAAACAGGAACTAAATCAATGAACAAATCTGGGGAAATTATTGAATGTATAGGATACATTTATACATAGAGAACACTTCTAAGTGTGAAAAACCAGACTATTCAGAGAAAGAATGAAGGAAATAAGAAAACTCTTCATTTGCAGTACCAAAAGTGAAATGATGTCAGAAATAGCAACTAAAAGACCACTCTTCTGTCAGGGCGAGAGAGGCATTTTCAGAAATAAAACCACTTGCAGAGAGTATCTCTGTCTTTGAGAGAAATACCAAAAGAAGTAGTCCAAATAAATGTAAAATGAATCTCACAAGAAATCTTCAATAGGAAAATACTGTTCAGTAATAATTCTTGCAAAATATATATAATTACAAAAAAGGACAATGTGACAATGGGATCAAGAGGCCACTAAAGAGAAAATTAATAATGTCCTATGATAAAACGTTCCTAATCATCGCAGGAAAAAACAGAAAAAATGGGGTGCAGAATGGAAACAATGAGCAGAAATTTCATCCATCCAATCAAAATATGTAAAGAAAAGGCAGAAAATAAAAGGAGCCAAATAGTGAACATCAAATGGAAGGCATACAATCAGATAAATCATTATTACAATAAGTAGAGGTACAATTCTATCAACAGAGACTATAAGTTGGATTTGAAAAAAAACCTTTGTTTTCAATATCTATTGAAAACAAATAAGTAATGTAACATAGAAACAGATATGGATACAAATGAAGCGATGGGCAAAGACACATCATCCAAATGCAACAAAAGTAAAAACAAGTGGCCGTGTAAGTATCAACGTGGCATTTTAAAAAATATATTCTCGATATTAATCATATATGTATGTATGATCTGCAAATATTTTCATGCAATCCATGAGTTGCCTTTTCACTCTACTGACAGTGTCCTTTGATGCACAAAACACTTTTATTTTGATTAAATCCATCTATTCTCTTATTGGCTGTGCTTTTGGTGTCTTTGATCCAAGAAATCATTGCAAAACCCAAATCACGGAACTTTTCCTTTATGCTTTCTTCTAAGACCTTTATAGTTTTAAGTCTTATGTTTAGACCTTTGATCCAGAGTTTGAGTTAGTTTACGTATATATACTATGTATATATCCACATGCAAAGAGTGAGGTTGGGCTCTTATTTATACTGCATATATACACCGTGTGTGTGTGTGTGTGTGTGTGTGTATATAGCATAGTATGTATCATATACAGCATATATATATAAAGTATATAATATATATGTATATATATAGTGTGTGCATATAAAGTATATAATATATATGCATATATACTATATATATACACGTTTTAAATACATATACAAATATATTTTAAAAAGCTCAACATCACTGATCATTAAGAGAAATGCAAATCCAAACCAAATATATATTATGTTATATATTATATATGCATTAGCTAGAATATATTAATCAGCTATATGTATTATACATTACATTATATATATTACATATTATTATATATAAAATGGTGTTTATATCATTGTCGTATATCCAAAGGAATATAAATCTTTCTATTACAAAAATACATGCACGTGTATGTTCACTGCAGCACTGTTTACAACAGCAAAGACATGGAATCAACCCAAACGCTCATCAATGGATAAAGAAAATATGGGGTATATATACACCATGGAGCACCATGCAGCCATGAAAATGAATCAGATCATGTCTTTTTCAGACACGTAGATGAAGCTGGAAGCCACTATCCTCAGCAAACTAACACAGGGACAGAGAAGCAAATATTACATGTTCTCACTTATAAGTGGGAGCTGAACAAGACCATGTGGACACAGGGAGGAGAACAACACACACTGGCACCTGTTGGGAGAGGGCAGTGGTAGGGACAGCATCGGGAAAAATGGCTAATGCATGCTGAGTTTAATACCTAGGTGATGGGATGACAGACGCAGCAAACTACCAAGGTACACATTGACCTGTGTAAGAAAACTGCCCGTCCTGCACATATACCCCAGAACTATAAAGAAAATAAACACACAAATAAAATTTTTAAAAATTATCTTAATTGTATGTGGGTAGGTCCCTTTGATTCAAAGTGAAATGGAATTAAAAAAACAAACGAACAAAAAAACCTTACTATTCAAAATTTACAAAACTAAATAAGAGTAAAACAAATTTACATGTTGTCCCTGGATTGATATAAGACAAAAACATTGTGTGGGAAAGCTGGAGTTAAGGACGAATGAGATTCTGAGAATAAAAATCCCTGGTACATAGTCATAAGTTTCAGAGTCAACTTCAGATTTTCAAGGATTATAAAATAGGTAACTTCATACCACCGTCTCCAACAAATAAAAGGAACCAGATAATATCTGAGTTCCAGGGAGAAAGAACAGAAAATTGGCTGAGTTCTGTCAGTGACAAAACTTAGTGGGAAGGAGGAATCTGGAAGGTGGGAGAGTGGAGGGATCCCGGGCTTTTGGGGTGGGGAGGGGCTCTGCGTCAGCCTCCCCCCTCTCGCTGCCCCTCCCCAATCAGGGGCCCTTTGTGATGTAAAGGCCCCAGCTCTGTGATGCAGGCCTGGGCCCCAGTCCCTAGTCTGCAAGGGAATGCTCAGACCTCAGTTGCTTGAAGGCAGCAGACCTATTCAGATGGCGAATATTCCGTTTCCTCTAAAATTTCTTAGTGATTTCTGGATAAACACCCCCAGCTTTACACCATGGGTGTTGGATATCTTTCTCACCCTGGTATTTGTCGTGGAGTTATATTTCCTATTAGCCCCCTGCCTCTCTTACTTCCATCGTGATCCACCCTCACCATCGCCCGGGGAGAAGATAATGGTAAGGAGCCCTCAGGCCAGACCCACACAGCACATTTCTCTCCTTTCTTTCTATTATTAGCTCTACTTTTCCAAATCCAGTGGAGAGACTTCCACAATGGGAAGTGTCAAGAGAGACCAGAACATGGTCCTTCCAGGGAGAGGCAGAGCAGCCAGGGCTTGGTCGGGACTGGGATTTCCATCCCAAGCTCTAAGTCCATCTGAGGGGGAGCTCAGGAGGCGTCAGGGCAAACCCAAACCCCTGGACTCAGTGGTGAGGACCAGTCAGGACATGGGGGAGGTCTCTGGGGGGGGGGCACGCATAAGCCCCTTCCTGGGGCAGGTGGCTGGGGACCCAGTCTCATCTGTGTGGGGTGATCTGGGGGCTGTGCTGAGCCTCTGAGGGCCTCCCACCTGGGCCTGAGCCTGGGCGTTTGAGTAGAGGAGCACCTCTACCGTTACTTACATTACATTATACATTATATATATTATAGTTTACATATGAAATACATATTTTATGTGTATACACATAAAATATGTATTTCCTCATATAGTAAATCCCTCTTTGTGGTGGGTTTTATTGTTTGTTTGTTTTCTGAGACGGAGTCTCACTCTTGCCACCCTGGCTGGAGTGCAATGGCGATCTTCGCTCACTGCAGCCTCTGCTTCCCAGGTTCAAGCAGTTCTCCTGCCTCAGCCTCCGGAGTAGCTGAGATTACAGGCACGCGCCACCACGCCCGGCTAATTTTTGTTATTTTTAGCAGAGACAGGGTTTTTCACTATGCTGGCGAGGCTGGTCTCAAACTTCTGATCTCAGGTGATCCACCCTTCTTGGCTTCCCCAAATGCTGGGATCACAGGCGTGAGCCACCATGTCTTGCCCCCTCTTTGTGTTTTTCTAAGAAGAAAAGCAGTTTATCATCCAATTAAACATGAGTGGGAGGAAGCACACCGCTCCCTGAGCAAGACGAGAGAGCTGTGCTGTTCGTGAGCGCCGCAGCCGGACTGGGGGCGGAGAGCGAGAGCTGGTCTCAGCCCCTCGCCCTTTCTTGTCTCCCAGGGTCACCTTCTCTCCCAGGGTCAGCAGAGGGGGAGGCCCAAAGGCAGGAAGAAAAACAGCAGTCTGAAAGGTAAGGCTCTGCCGGGCACACTAGAGTTCATTTGATCTCGTCTGTCCCCGGAGAGAGGCGACTCTGTCTGAGGAAGTCAACTGAAGAAGCCTGAGGTGGGGGCTCCTAGGAAGGAAATCAGAACCCCGGGTCCCTCTCAGATTCCGTGCTGGCATGAAACCATGGTGGGCCAAGGACTGGCTGTTCTCCAGCAGGGCACAGTGTAGGGGGAGGAGACCAATGCCTGTCTGAATCAGGAGGGGGGTGAGGGGGCTGTGGACAGCTGTTCAACTCTGCTAAGGCTGACTTCTCTTTGAGACCACCCCAGTCCTTTCTCCCCCACAGGGAAGCTGTGAGAACTATGGGGATGGGGGGGGGTCTTGTGTGGAAGCCATTTGTGGACAACAAAGCCTTGCCCTCTGTGCCTCTCGCTATCACCGTCCAGGCCATGTGGCCTTGGACACAGACACGTGGTTTCCAGGGTCTGACTCCCCATGGTCTTCCCTCAAGAAACATCCACTCGACCTCCTGTGAGATCCCAGGCCCCTCCCTCACTGCCCTAACCCAGTCTCCTGATTTCCAGCTTCTAGAGACCTCCTGACAGGCCTGGAGGGGATTCGGGACTCGCTTTCACAACTGCAGCGGTGAGGCACTTCCCCTTCCCTGCACCCTTCTTACCGGGCTGGGATTCCACCCCAGGAGCTAACCTGGGATGGGGAGACCAGGGGGACAGAGGATGGGAGTGAAACCCTGGAGCAAAGGGTAGGAGAAGAAGTGGGGAGTCTGGGTGCAGTGCGGTGGAGGGGCATAGAAGGAGAACTGGGGAGTCTGGGTGTGGGGCGGTGGAGGCGCACAGGAGGGGAATTGGGCAGTCAGCATGTGGGGTGGTGGAGGGGCATAGGAGGAGAATTGGGGAGTCAGGGTGTGGGGCGGTGGAGGGGCATAGGAGAATTGGGCAGTCAGCGTGTGGGGTGGTGGAGGGGCATGGGAGGAGAATCGGGGAGTCTGGGTGTGGGGCGGTGGAGGGGCACAGGAGGAGAATTGGGGAATCAGGGTGTGGGGCAGTGGAGGGGCACAGGAGGAGAATTGGGGAATCAGGGTGTGGGGCAGTGGAGGGGCATAGGAGAATTGGAGGGTCTGGGTGTGGGGCAGTGGAGGGGCCGGGGCCCAGGCGCCCACTCTGCCCTATGGCCCTGCCTGCTCCTGGCTGCAGCTTGTGCCTCCTGTCTCCTGCAGCATCCTGAGGCCGTATCCTGAGAAAGGCGACTTTGGTCAGCTCTCTGGTGCAGATCCCCCCTCAGGTGAGGAGTGCAAAAGAGCGCCTGATGGAGCCTCCCACTCCCCTCAGGAGCTGATGGAAGATGCCGCTCCCGTGCCTTCCCCATTAGCTTCCCCGGATCCTCAAACCCAGCATCCTTCGCCTCTCGTCTCCACCCCATCACCAGGCCCAATGGCCACCTCAGTCTCCCCTCTGAGTGCCTCCCAACCACCAGAGCCTTCCCTTCCCCTGGAACACCCCTCACCAGAGCCACCTGCGCTTTTCCCTAACCCAACACACACCCCTGATCCTCGGGCCTGCTCTCCGCCTCCTCCGAAAGGCTTCATTGCTCCTCCCCTGCGGGACTCCACTCCGACGACTCCATCTCACTGTGACTCAGTGGCGCTTCCACTGGGCACCATCCATCAAAGCTCCAGTCCTGAACTCTGGAGCAACCTGGGAATGACCCAAGAGTCTCTGGATCCGATGCAGTCTCCAGAGAAATGGCCAGGGACAAGTCAGGGCAGGGGCAAACTCAGACCCTTGCAGTTCTCCGAGTCCACGGGCGAAAGCAGCAAGGACATACAGAAGGTGACGTTCCCGCTAGAGAGTAATCCGTGCACACCTCTGGGACAAATTCGGGGGCATACCCCCCAAAATCTAGCCAGGTGCCTGGAAAGCTTCCCAGGGAAGGTTCTGGGGGCAGAACCTCAAGACTCTGAGGAATCGGAAAGAGACTTGAAGATGCCCTTGAGGAGAGACTCGGAAAGTGATTTATTAAGACGCACAGAGAGAAATCATATAGAAAACATCCTGAAAGCCCACGTGGGCATGAAGTTGGGCCAGCTCAATGAGGGCTTTATCCCCATCCGTGTGCGTCGATCCTGGCTTGCTGTCAACCAGGCTTTTCCCCTGTCCAACACCCACATGAAGACCAGCAATCTAACAACCCCAAAAAGTGAAAGAGCCAGTGTGAACACATCCCAGGAGCTTTCCTTCCTCGATCCGTGCACTCGACAGGTGCTGGGACGCCATATTGTGAGGTTGTGGGCCAAACACAACTGGAGCCTAGCCCTCAGGGTCCTCAAGCCCATTAAGCTCTTTAAACTGGAAAAGGTTTCGTCCTTACCCCTAACACAGCGTGCACGTCCCTCGTCAGCCACCTATGAATCTAAGCCTAACTCAAAAGTTGAGAAAGCCACGTTCCTAAGAGAGTCACCACTGGCAGGTCTGAGAAAGCAGGTGCTGACCAAAGCATCTGTTCAGACGCCAGACAGTCTTATGGCAGCCAGAAGGAGCAACCTGGGGTACGAGGAGCCCAAGAACCCGAAACATCAAGGCTCACGCAAGAGCCAGAGCCGGATGTTTACCCCTACTCACAACAGTGAGAACCCAACGAAGCCCAACTTAGAAAAACGTGTAGAAAGGCTGGAAGAACTGAGGACTCCCCAACTCACCCCAGTCAGGAAAACAGAAAAAACCCGTCAGGATGAAGGCCTCCGGCTGCTGCCGTCAAAGAAACAGCCTCCTTCAATAAGCGACGTCGGAGAAAGCATCAAACAATTCTTTCAGCAGGTCTTTTCAGAGAAGAAAAGCAAGCCAGTTCCAGTCACTGCCAAGAGCCAGAAAATAGTGAAAAACAGATCACATGTGTACAGCAGCTATGCTGAAGCTGAGCGGCTCACGGCAGCAGTTGGACACATGCTGGAGAAAAAAATGACACTTTGCCGTGAGCATCGTGCCTCAAAGGCAAATCAGCACAAACAGGAGTTCCAAGCCCCAGTCTGTGGGTTTCCCTGCAACCGCAGGCACCTCTTCCACCCGGAACACAGCACAATGCTGGGCTACGCAGCCAGCAGTCAACAAGCCACTCTCAAGAGCCAGAGTTACCCCAACAGAGAGAAGCATATCAGAGATCAACAGTCCCTGAAAAGTGTCCGACGCAACAATGAGCAACGGGGCCAGGACAGCCCCAACTCTTGCTCCCCAAGAAGGCTGTCTCCCCAGTCAGCGCCCCTCAGGGCAGACCGAAGACAGAACATTTAATATTCCAAAATAAATAAATAACTCCCCCCCCAATAAAAGGATAATGGCTTTTATTTGTGTCATGCTTCATCCTGAGTTCCTTCACTGAAACTTAGGTTTCCATAATACCGTCTTTACACAAACAACAAAAAATTCTAAAAACAAGATGAGAACACCTACGAAGATCCCACTCAGAGATATGGTTCAACCCATCTTTCTACTACTTACTCTGTACCTCAAACTTTATGCAGCTGTAGGAAGAAGGTTTGCAGAGATGTCATAGGACTGAATATCTCCATGCAGGCTCCAGGGACTGCCACAGTCAAGTAGCTTCATGTGTCACAAAACAGTGGAAGCTCGGGTGGGAGAGTGTGAGCCCTGAGTTCAGAAGCCAGGGAAGTCTTGACCCTGGATATCCTGGGGGAGAGTAGATAATGCCTATCCTTGGGAAGCCCCTTCTCTCCCTCGCAAAGGCTGGGATGGAAATGGGCCCTCTTAGCTCAGCCTACATACAAAGCACAGAGTCCCCATCCCACTGCCTCCCCCTTTCTTGCACTCTGGAGTGGGGTGGGGACAGACCTTCCAGCACTGTGGATGTAAAAGTGGGGGTTGGGGGGAGGCCTCCACGGAGGCTGCTGAGGTCTGTGAGCTCCCCTGCCCGCAATGAGTGAATGACCCTGCTCCTGGGTCACCTGCCTTTGTCTGTCTCACCTATGTGTGTCTCAGCTTCAGAGAAGTAGTTCTGGGTGAATGGGGTAGGGCATGCCTGTGTGTGCAGAGGCTTCTGATGGTGGGACTCTGTAGAACTACAGCAGGATGCAGACAAAGATTTGAAAAGGAGGCAAAGTGGTGTGAGGGCTCCGTAGGCGGTGCCATGACCTGGGAGCCTCTGACATTCCAACCCCTTCCACAGGCAGAGAGGGGCCTATGGCTCATCCTGGCCCCACCCCAGGGTCTGTCCCTGTTCCAGCTCCCAGACCATAGACCTAAAAACGAATTTACCCCCAACACAGAGGGCCAGACCAGTGAGAAGGCAAAATGAATAAGGGAAGATGAATTTCTTAACATCTTTAATAAGCTCGCACATAGTAACCTACTGATTTTTTTTTTTTTTTTTTGAGACAGAGAGAGAGTTTCACCCTTTTGCCCAGGCTGGAGTACAGTGGCATAATCTCGGTTCACTGCAACCTCCAGCCCCTGGGTTCAATTGATTCTCCTGCCTCAGTTTTCCAAGTAGCTGAGATTATAGGCACCCACCACCACACCTGGCTAATTTTTTACGTTTTTTTTGAGACGGAGTTTCGCTCTTATTACCCAGGCTGGAGTGCAATGGCACGATCTCGGCTCACCGCAACCTCCGCCTCCTGGGTTCAGGCAATTCTCCTGCCTCAGCCTCCTGAGTAGCTGGGATTACAGGCACGCACTACCGTGGCCCAGCTAATTTTTTGTATTTTTAGTAGAGACCGGGTTTCACCATGTTGACCGGGATGGTCTCGATCTCTTGACCTCGTGATCTACCCGCCTTGGCCTCCCAAAGTGCTGGAATTACAGGCTTGAGTCACCGCACCCGGCCCCTATTTTTACATTTTTAATAGAGATGGGGTTTTGCCATGTTGACCAGGCTGGTCTCAAACTCCTGACCTCCGGTGATCTACCAGCCTTGGCCTCCCAAACTGCTAGGATTACAGGCATGAGCCACCGCACCTGGCCTACCTATTGAATTTTTAAAAGGATGTGTTGACCACAGGTGAAACAGCAAGGACTAGAGAGAACCCCAGGCATGACTCGGGAGTCTGGTGACCTTTAACATACACATAGCCCCAAGACTGCCCACAGGGGAGAGGTGGTTACTTAGAAGGATCCCAGCAGCTGAGCTGGGGTCACACAGCAAATCTCCCTCGGCTCCTGAGGTCCTTTCTTGCCCCACAGACCAGCAGGGGAAGAGGCAGGCAGGCAGGCAGGCAGGCAGGCAGGCAGGCAGGCTGGCAGGCAGGATTTGAACACACAAGGCAGCTGGAAGTGACCTGTCCAGAATGGGCAGGGGGTGGGCAGGGCAGGAGCCGTCCCCGCTCTGTCTCCCTCTGCTTTCAGCACAGCTTCCTCCTCTCTGGGCCCTCTCCCTGTGGGAAAGCAGGAGGTCCCCACAAATCAGGGAGAGGAGTCTGAGGTCTCTAGAGGGAGTTTCCGTGCCTTGTGCACATACAGGCGCGCAGGAGGCCCAGTTCCGGGGGCCTCGTTTCCATGCTGGAGAGGACCGTGCCAGTCGGTGACACTGATTTAGATGAAAATGGGAATGGCCCTGCCCCCAGCATGTGGGACTGGTTGGCACTTGGGGTAAAGGGGGCAGTCAGCAACAGTCCCCAGCATGTGGCCTGTCCTAGGGCCAGGTCTGTCTGGGGCCCAGATGACTGAGGCAGCCTCCAAGGTGGACCCAGCAGTGACAGCAGAGCCAGGACCAGCAGGAGGGGCTGGGACCTGGAGCAGAGATCAGCTCCAGTCCCCCTGGGGAGCTCAGGAGAGAGTGAGTCACAGAGCTGGGACCCTGACTGCTGAGGATGGGCCATGCCTGGCTGCTGCTGGGTTCCCTCAGGAAACCGACAGGCGAGTTCTGGGATGTGGAGGAGCTGGACGTGTGGACCCCACGGCTCAGGCCAGGAGAAGCACCACAGGAAACGCTGGCCGACCAACAAGAACATAGGAAGGCGCAAGCAAGCCCTTACCCCTCCGCTACTCAGTCTCCCATGGGGTGCAGCGAGGCCAGCAGTGGAGACCACAGAGGCCTCCCACAGAAACCTCACAGGGACATCTCGTACAGAGAGCCCACCGGGACCACTCACTGCCACAGAGAGAGACACACTGCGCCCTCCAGAGACCTCATGGTGCCCCACAGAGACACAGCACCGAGACTCCCAGAGTGCTCACACGGACCCCTTCAGAGAACCCCACAGAGACCACACTGACAGACTTCATTCAGTCCCACAGAGACCTCCTGCAAATTTCAGAGACCTTCCTTGGTTCTCACACAGAGGCCTCACACCCGACAAAGGCCTCAGAGACTTTACACAGAATCATGAAACAGGGAACTCATGCAAAGACTCATGCAGCTCACCTCGTGATCTGCCTGCCTCAGCCTCCCAAAGTGCTGGGATGACAGGCGTGAGTCACCTCGCCCAGCCTCTCTTTTATTTTTAAGTTGGAGGTCTTGCTCTTTCACTCAGCCTGGAATGCGGTGGCATGATCTCAGCTCACTGCCATCTCCAACTCCCAGGTTCAAGTCATTCTCCTGCCTCAGCCTCCCTAGTAGCTGGGATACAGGTATGCACCACCACATGAGCCAAGCTAAGTTTTGGTATTTTTAAGAGATGGGTTTTTACCATGATGGCCAGGCTGGTCTGAAACTCCTGACCTCAAGTGATTCACCCGCCATGGCCTCCCAAGGTACTGGGATTATAGGCATGAACCACCGCACCCAGACTGGTCCTGTAATTCTCTCTGGGCACCCTGGCCCTGTGAGCTGGAGGAGGGCAGGCGGGGCCAGGCCCCGAGCAGCCCCTGATAGGTGTTGAGTGAATGAGTAGGGGTGGGGAGGGGAGGCTGGGGAAGGCACCCGGGATGTGTTCCTCCCACCCCCCAGCCCTGTCAGGCCTCCATGTCCTGCTGAGCTCTTGCATGGTGGTCCTTTCCCACTTACAGCTCACTGCCTTGGACTAGGTCCCAGCCGATGGCCCGGCAGAAGTGTCCTCTCTGTTCTTATCCAGTATGACCTAGATGGGAGCCAATAAGCACATGGAACGAGCATAGCCCTGAGGGGTCAAAAATGTGTGAGGAAGAAAGGGAGGGAGGGAGGGAGGGAGGGAGGGAGGGAATGAGGGAGGCAAGAAGGAAGGAAGGGAGGGAGGGAGGGAGGGAATGAGGGAGGCAAGAAGGAAGGAAGGAAGGAAGGGAGGGAGGGAGGGAGGGAGGGAGGGAGGGAGGGAGGGGGCAATGAATGACTGCACATACAAAGGAATGAGTGAATTAATGCCCAAACCAAGAAATGAGGGAATGAATGAATACACACACCAAAGAAAGAAAGAATGAATGAATGCACACAAATGAATTAATGCACACAAAGGAAAGAGCCAATGTATGAACATGCCACTTGTGGGGCGTGAAGAGGTCTCAAGAGACCCCCAGTTGATGGGGCCCCACGTTGTGTCCTTGCTGCTGAGGGACCTGGACATGCTGGTGCATGGGAGAAGGGCTTGGGCTTGGGGTGAATTGGCTCACAGGCGACTCATCAAGTGTCACAAGTAACCCTGAGGAGCAGGCTTCCCCTCCCGAGCCTTAGCCCCACCAGATGTAACATGGATTAGAAGAGCGACCTCATGGCGCTTTTCTGAAAATTCAGTAGGTGAAACTTGGTGGCTCACGCCTGTAATCCCAGCACTTTGAGAGGCCAAGGTGATTAGATCACTTGAGCCCAGGAGTTTGAGTCTAGCCTGGGAAACAGTGAGACCCTGTTTTCGTTAAAAAACAAAAACTTAGTGAAATATGCACAAGTTTAAATAGCAGAATGGATCAAGCAGAAGAAAGGGTATCAGAGGTCGAAGACCAACTTAATGAAATAAAACTCAAGACAAGAATAGAGAAAAAAGAATGAAAAGGAATGAGCAAAGTCTCCAAGAAAGATGGGACTATGTGAAAAGACCCAATCTACGTTTGATTGGTGTACCTGAATGTGATGGAGAGAATGAATCCAAGCTGGAAAATACTTTTCACGATATTATCCAGGAAAATTTTCCCAATCTAGCAAAGCAGGACACTATTCAACCCCAGGTAATACAGAGAACACCACAAAGATATTCCTCAAGAAGAGCAACCCCAAGGCACATAATCGTTAGATTCACCAGGATCCAAACGAAGGAGAAAATACTAAGGGCAGCCAGAGAGAAAGGCCAGGTTACCCATAAAGGGAAGCCTATTAGACTTACAGCAGATCTCTCAGCAAACCCTACAAGCCAGAAGAGAGTGGAGGCCAATATTCAACATACTTAAAGAACAGAACTTTCAGCCTAGAATCTCATATCCTGCCAAACTAAGCTTCACAATTGAAGGAAAAATAAAATCTTTTATGAACAAGCAAGTACTCAGAGATTTTATTATCACCGGGCCTGTTTTACAAGAACTTCTGAAAGAAGCATTATACATAGAAAGGAACAACCAGTATGAGCCTTTCTAAAAATATACCAAAAAGTAAAGAGCATCAACAGAAAGAAGAATTTATATCAACGAATGGACAAAATAGCCAGTTAACATCAAATGGCAGTAACCCTAAATTTGAATCGACTAAATCCCCCAATCAAAAGATAAAGCCAAAACCTAATGGTATATCCAAAGATACACAAAGACTCAAAGGGTTGGAGAAAAATTTACCAACCAAATGGAGAGCAAAAATAAATAAATAAACAAAAAGCAGGAGTTGCAATTCTCACATTTGATAAAATAGATTTCAAAGCAACAAAGATACAGTGGTAAAAGGATCAATGCAACAATAAGACATCTTAATACCCAGATAAATAAGACCCATAACGAGATTTAGACTCAACGAGACAGAAAATTAATAAGGATATCCAGGACTTCAACTCAGATCCGGAACAAGTAAACTCAATAAATATTTATAGAGTTCTCCATTTTAAATACACAAAATATTGATTGGCCATCCTGTTCTCTCTCCTTCTTTTTCTTCCTCTTTCTTCCTTTCCTTCTCTCCTTTTTTTACTTTTCAATATCCTAGTTCCTCACCTCTACTCAATACATTCCTCTAAACACCTGATTCCTTGTGATTCTCCCGTCCCACTGAAACCTCAAAAAAAAAAAAAAAAAAAAAAAAAAAAGAAAAAACAACGGAAATTCAATGGGGTGCCGGGTGTGCCAGTTCTAGAGCTGTGACATTTATTTGGTTCAACCCAAGCCACTTCAAACAACTGAGCCCCCCAGCCAGTGGGCCAGGCCTCTCAGTGTCACTCTGGCTGAGGGGGTGTGTGTGTCTCTCCTTCCTTTGTAACTGTCCTCATTCTTTCCATCGTGTGTGTGTGGTCTTTTCTCTCTCATACACACACACACACATCTGTCAAATTTGCATGCTCTGACACACAGACACAGTCATACTTCCTTTTGAAAAATTTTTATTTTTAGAGGCACAATCTTGCTCTGTCGCCCAGGCTGGAGTGCAACGGCACAATCACAGATCACTGCAGCCTTGAACTCCTAGGCTCAAGCGATCCTCGTGACTCAGCCTCCTGAGTAGCTGGGACAACAGGCGTGCATCCCCATGCCTGGCTAATTTTTTTTTTTTTTGGTAGAGGTGGGGTCTTGCTATGCTGCCCAGGCTTGTACACTCCTGCTTCTACATGTATGTATGTATCCTCTTTTTTGAAAATGGTTTCATTGAATCTTTCTTTAAGCACAGATGTTTCTGAAGCTCTGGGGACACCTGGAAGAGGAAGGGAGGGTTCTGGATAGCCCCTAGGACCACATTGGCCCTGGGTGCAGGACAAGCCCAGGCAGGAGAAACAGACCCTGCTGAGGGGTCTCCTCTTTGCCTCCTCCCTGGGTCCCAGCTGGGTGGTCTCCTCAGGGTCAGGCAGTGCATGGCCAGCCCACCGCTATGTCACCATTCCAGGGGGAAGGGGCTTGAAGGCCGCGTCATGGAGTGATGGGAACCTGGATTTAGTTGGTATGACCGAGCTCAGCTTTCAGCTTTTCCATATCCTGGCGGCGGGGCCTTCGGGTGGGAATTCCTCCTCTGCAAAATGAGAGCTTGAGAGAATTAAACTGGCCCCGGCATTTAGGAAACAGCCCTGTGATGTAGGTTCACGCTCTCATGACCCAATTACTTCCCAAATGCAAAAAATTAGCTAGGAGCGGTGGTGGGCACCTGTAATTCCAGCTACTCAGGAAGCAAAGACAGAAAATTGCTTGAATCCAGGGGGCAAAGGTTGCAGTGAGTTGAGATGGTGCTACTGCACGCCAGCCTAGGCAACAGAGCAAGGCTCTGTCTCACGAAAAAGAATAAAAGGAAAAAAAAAAAAAAATGAAATGGAAGGAGACGAAAAGGAATATATGTAACATAGGCAAGGACTTCATGACTAAAACACCAAAATCATTGGCAACAAAAACCAAAATAGACAACCGGGACCTAATTAAACTCCACAGCTTCTGTACAGCAAAAGAAACAATCAACAGAGTGAACCAGCAACCAACAGAATGGGAAAAAATTTTGCAATCTACCCATCTGACAAAGGGCTAATATCCAGAATCTACAAAGAACTACAACCGACATACAAGTAAAAAGCAAACAAACCCATCCAAAAGTCGGAGAAAGATATGGACAGACACTTGTCAAAAGAAGGCATATACGAGGCCAACAAACATATGAAAAAATGCTCATCATCACTGATTATTAGAGAAAGGCAAAGCAAAACCGCATTGAGATATCATCTGACGCCAGTCAGAATGGCGATCATAAAAAAATCTGGAGACAACAGATGCTGGAGAGGATGTGGAGAAATATGAACACTTGAACACTGCTGGTGGGAGTGTAAACTAAGCTAGGTCAACCATTGTGGAAGACAGTGTGGCGCTTCCTCAAGGATCTAGAAATAGAAATTCCATTTGACCCAGCAATCCCATTGCTGAGTAATATACGCAGAGGATTATAAATCATTCTATTATAAGGACACATGCACACATATGTTCATAATGGCGCTGTTTACAATAGCCAATACCTGGAACCAAACCAAATGCCCATCGACGATAGACTGGACGAGGAAAATGTGGCACATATACACCATGGAATACAATGAAGCCATAAGAAATGATGAGTTCATGTCATCTGTAGAGACATGCATGAATCTGGAAACCAGCATTCTCAGCAAACTGACACTAGACCAGAAAATCAAACACCACATGTTCTCACTCATAGGCAGGTGTTGAACAATGAGAACACACACACACAGGGAGGGGAACATCACACACTGGGGTCTATTGCGGGGGCCAAGGGAGGGACAGTGGGGGAGGATGGGGAGGTCGGGGAGGGATAACATGGGGAGAAATGCCAGATGTGGGTGACAGGGGGATGGAGGCAGCAAACCACATTCCCATGTGTGTACCTATGCAACAATCCTGCATGATCTGCAAATGTAACCCAGAACCTAAAGTACAATTAAAAAAACAAAAAGATTTGCAAGGAATCAAGAAGCATTTAAATATCCACATGAAGACATTCATCAGCAAGACTGATACCGCAAAGAAAAGAAAATCAAATCAGTGATATTAAGAATACATTGGAGAAGTCCTCCAAGAATGTAGAGGAAAAGGATAACAGAATGAAAGTGATGACGACGAGAGCGCTGTGAAACCCAATTTTAAAACTCCAAGATTAATACAATAAGATTTTCACAGTAGAGTAGAACAAACTAATGAAAAAAACAACAACAAAGAGAACATTTTTTCTTGACCTTTAAAAAAAATCATGTTCTATAAAAAGAAATCCTCACATAGACATATCCTGGCAGAATATGTATTGAAATGCTGGAAAACTTTAAACCATTCCGGGATCTGAGAAAAGTACTTAGAAATGAATGAAAATCAGGCTGACCCTGGCTTTTCCTCTGTGACAGAAAATTCAGGGAAACACTAGAATACCATCTACATAGTTGAGGGGAAGGGTTAGAAACCCAAGTAACCAGAGATTTTGGAAACACACTTGCATAGTCTGACATCTGTGAAAATAACATACTTGGCTGTTTTTGCTTTGAGAGTACACAGCACCAGTAAGCAGCTTAAGAAAAATATTACTTTAATATTTTTCAACGATTATGGAAGACAGTGTGACAATTCATCCAAGATCTAGAACCAGAAATGCCGTTTGACTGGGGTGAGTGTGGTGAGGAGGCAGCAGGGGCAAAGGCCCTGGGGTGGGTGTGGTGAGGAGGCAGCAGGGGCAAAGGCCCTGGGGTGGCTGTGGTGAGGAGGCAGCAGGGGCAAAGGCCCTGGGGTGAGTGCGGTGAGGAAGCAGCAGAGGCAAAGGCCCTGGGGTGGGTGTGGTGAGGAGGCAGCTGGGGCAAAGGCCCTGGGGTGATTGTGGTGAGGAGGCAGCTGGGGCAAAGGCCCTGGGGTGGGTTTCGTTAGGAGGCAGCTGGTAAATGTCATCAGCCTGGTGTTCACACGCATGGCCCAGTTCCCCTAGTCCACTCCCTCAGGGGCGTCAAAGGTCTCAGCCTTGCACCAGAGATTTCCCGACTTTCCACACTTCTCAGCCCTCGAGGTGGCCCAGGGCCACGTGACAGGGGGAGAAACTAGCCCAGCAGGCCTGGGTTTGCCTACCACTCTGCCTCTCACTTGCTATGTGACCTGAGGCAAGTTACCAGACCTCTCTGAATATGTTTTCCTAGCGGAGCTTTTGATACATGCCTGGTGTGGGGTGTGCAGTCAGAAAATGCTGTTTCCCTGCCACTTTTCAATGTCTCCTCTTCTCAGCCGACATTTGAAACAGTTCCCACAGGCTGGGCGCAGAGGCTCACGCCTGTAATCCCAGCACTTTGGGAGGCCAAGCAGTAAGTGCCCCACGGGCAACAGATGTGCTGCCTGGGAAGCAATGCCGGAGGCTGTGGATGAGGCAGGCACCAGTTTAGGCCAGCCACAGACAAAGCTTCTGAGGCTCTGTGCCTCTGTGCCTGCCTGGCACAAGATATGGAGCCAGGACTGAGTGGGCCTCTGTGCTCTGGGCTGACCAAGGATGAGACTGGGACATGCTGGTCCCCAGAGAGAGCTGACTCCGGACAACCCGGGCTTTGTGTGGAGCAGGTAAGGGAGCCCCCCCGCCCACCACTTGTCTCCCCATGCCAGTGGTGCAGTGCCCAGAGCCTGCAATCCTCACTCTGGGTGTGGGCCAAGAAAGAACGGACCCTTTGGCTGGTGCACTAGGCGACCTTCAGGCTATCTGGGACCAGCTCTGACAGCCTCTGCTCTGGGATCAGCTGCCGCAGCAACCTACACATGGCATGGGGCAGCAGCGGTGGCATCCCTGGACATTGACCCCAGTAGCATGGAACCCAGGACCAGATACTGCCACAGTCAGCCTGCAGGTGCGGGAGGGCAGCAGGCGCTCAGTCAAAACTCTGTGGCTGCACAGTGCCCAGCACCTGCAAACCTGTGCTCTGGGCCAGGCCTAAGGAAAAGAGGACCCTAGGGTGGGATGGCGGTACACTCCCCGACCCCCACGCCCTCGGGGAGCAGCCCCGCAAGAATCTGCCGTGGGCTCAGCCACAGCTGCAACCTGGAAATGACGCAAGTCACTATCAGTGGCAACCCCTGGCCCTGTCCTCCCCCACCAGCAGCAGGAATCCCAGGGCCAGATGTCACCATGGTGCCTAATTTAGGCGGTTGGCAGCACAGCTACAGGGTGATGGAAACTGGTGCTCAGACTCATCCTGGGTGCTGCAGTGGGCCCAGAGCCTGCGACCCCACACTCTGGGCTTGGGCCAACGAAGCACGGATCTTAGGGTGGGGGGAGGTGCCCTGGGCGACTCTCAGGCTGTCTGAGACCAGCCCTGCAGCCTCCCGTGCATTCTGCTGCACCTGCCACTTAGAGATGGCATTCGGCAGCGTGGTGGCAGCCCCTGATCCTGCCCGCTTCCTCCAGCAACGCGGACCTAAGGGCCAGACCCTGCTGCGGTGCCTAAATCAGGCTCCGCAGCAGGAGGACTGGAACCGGCGCCCAGCCCCATCCCAGTGGCTGTAGGGTGACCAGCGCCCTGGACCAGGGACAAAAAGGAACAGAAGAACAGAAACCAGCACTGCCACCCTATGGCTCAACTCTACCTGCCACCTGCACACGGCGCATTAGAAGCAGTGGCAACCCCAGCTCTGCCTGCCATAAACAGCAGCGGGGGACCCAGGGACCAAGGCCACCTCAGAGGCTGCCACCTGGCCACCTCTGCACCCGTCCCTGCCCTGGTGGCAGCCAGCCACGCTCCTACCTCTCCGGCGCTCTGCAGTCTCCATCGCTGCCACCCACTGCAGCGAGGCGAGCCGTGGTGCCACAGGCTCCAGCCTCCAGTATGCGGCAGATAGCTCTTCCTTCTCGTGGCATGGAGCAGTTGGGCGGGCAAAGCCAGAAAAGCCTAGAACGGGACACAAGAGAATGGTAGCATTAGACCCCCACCTTGTCATGCTGGCCACTGGGTGGCAAGGGGCCAGTTTCAGTGAAGGCACTCACACCCACCCTCCAAAGGCCACAGCATCTCTTTTTGGCCCAAACTGGCTAGGGAGTAGAGACTGGAGACACCATGGTGCCTGGGCTTCCCGCTCCACAGGAACCACTGGGACCACCCAGGCTGTGCTCGGGAAGCAGGAGCAGCAGAAACTCAGCCCCAGCCAGCCCTCCGCACCCATGTGCTGGTTCCCATTCCTGAAACCACCACCCACAGGGCCCTGTCACCCCACGGTGTCTGATACAGAAATGTGTGCCCGCCATGCAGCAGCAGATGGCCCTTTAGAGTTTAGAGTCCGGGGAGAGGAGGACCACTCCTCTCTCAGAGACCACTGCTGTCACTGAAACCTCCATCACCTGCCACCGTCAGTGCAGCTTCCGACAGAGCCCCTAACCCGCTGCCACCGGCAGTGCAGCCCCAGGATAGCGCCAACACCCCATCCCCCACCACCGGCAGTGTAGCACATCATGGCAGCCCCTAACCTGCCCCTGCCTTAGACACTGCAGCACTCGATGGCACCCGCAAAACACCCCCCCCCACCATGGGCAGCACAGCCCGGGATAGCACCCCAACAGGCTCCCTGGGGTGGGCAGTGGAGCCACAGATAGCGTCCCCAAGCAGACCCCCACCACAGGCAGTGATGCCCTCATATGGCACCCAAACCACCCCCCACTGCGGGCGCTGCAACCCTGAATCGTGAGTGCCCTAACTCACTCCCTGTCGGGAACAGTGCGGCCCTGGATAGCGCCCCCAACCAACTCCCTGCCTTGGGCAGTGCAGCCACCGATAGCACTCCAAACTCCCTCTCCACCTTGGGAAGTACCCCCATGGCTAGCTCGGGTAGCCCCTGATAGCACACCCAACCTGCCCCTGCCACAACCCACGCAGCCCGGAATTGCACACTCACCCGCTCTTTACCAGACAGCGCAGATCCCTGAGAGCACCTGGCCCACCCGCCGCCTCCCCACCACTCGGGCTGTGTATCCGGCCCCAAGAGTGCCCCCACCAACCCTCTACCCCACTCCACAGGCAGTCCAAACCTGTGTAGCTCTCCCAATAAGCCCCCCAACCTCTGTCTCAGTGTAGTCCCCATGACGCCTTTAATACCACCCCTCCCTCCCACCAGCAGTGTAGCACCCCCTAAACCATCCTCCCCCGCCAGCATTGCAGCCCCAGACAATGCCCCCAACCCACTCCCCACGTGGGCGATGCAGCCATGGATAGTGCCGCCAATCAGCTCCCAAACACAGGCAATGATGTCGTGGATCTCACACCCGCCCCTCCCCGCCCCCCCACTGGGGGCAATGTAACACCTGACAGCACCCCGAACCAATCCCTCGCCGCTGGCAGTGTTGCACCCCATAGTGCCACCAACCCATCCCAGACAAAGCAGGGAGCCGCGGACAAGGAGCAGGGAGGTCTGGAGGATTCCCGGTGGAGGACTCCCGCCACTTACCGCAGAGCCCTGTCTCGTCCTCCACCATCACGTTGAAGCCACCACGGCTTCTTCAAAGAAACTCGCTCTGACCGCGCCGCAGCCGCAGTCGCAACCGCAGTCGCCGCCGCCGCCTTCTCGAGGGCCAAGTTAGGATTGCGCCACTGAGCTCCACCCTGGGCAACAGGGCCAAGCCCGATCTCGAAAAATGTTTTAAAAATTAATAATAAACATTAAAAAAGAAAAAAAAAGGACACTGCCCGGGCTCAGCCTTCGCCTCGGGAGGGAGCTCGGCAGGGGCGCTTCCTCCTCCTTCCGCCTCCTCCCCCGCGGTCCTCCTGGGTCCCCTCCCTGCCCCACTCTCCCAGCCCCGCGCTCCCAAGCCCACTGATCTTTAACCTCCTCTGGGCCCCCAACCCCCGGGCGCCCAGGAGAAGGAGCCTACGAGGCGGCCTGGGCTCCCCCACTCCCTCCGCCGGGCTTCCGCGCGCCTCCCGGGCCCGCCCCGAGTTACCGCAGCAGCGGCCGCTACCACTGCTCCTGGAAGCCCCGGCGCCGGTCGTCGGAGCGGAAGCTCCAGAGTCCGTTCAGCTCCTTGCGCTCCCGCGACGGGCTCTCCCGGGGTTACAGCAACCCGCCCTGCAGCGCCAGCTTAAAGCCACACACGAGCCGCGCAGACGCCGCCAGCCCGGAAGCCAGACAGCCGGCTCTGTCGCTCGGCTTCCGGCTGCGGTGATTAATAGAAGCGCGGGAGGTGGGCGGAGGGCGTGTCGGTTGACGTACTGAGGCCGTCGGCGCCATGTTTGTTGAGGGCGAGTGCCAGGTCTGGAAGGGACGGGGGGCGGGGGCAGGCGCCGGGCGCTACTGGGTGGGGCCAAGGGCCGGGAACGCCGGGCTAGCCCTTTGGCGAAGTTGGACCCTCACACGCAGCCCCAGTCAAGAAGGGCGAGGTCTTCTCCCCGCTCCCGCCCAGGCTGGACGATCCAGGGCGGCAGGCCAGGACAGAAGCTCTGAGATCCGGGATTCCCCAGTTTCGTCAAGGAGCACCTCCACTCGCTTTCCCCAGAGCGACTCCTCCGAGCAGACCCCAGCGGAACCTCTTCCATGCCTGCCGGGTGCAGCGGTGGCTCTCGCCTGTAATCCCAGAGCTTTGGGAGGCAGAGGTTGGTGGATCACTTGAGGCCAGTCTGGCCAATATGCCGATAACCCATCTCCACTGGAAAAAAAAAAAAAAAAAATTCGCTGGGCGTGGTGGTGCATGCCTGTAATCCCAGCTACTCGCGAGGCTGACGTAAGAGAATCACTTGAACCAGGGAGTCGGAGGTTGCAGTGAGCTGAGATGTCACCATTGCACTCCAGCCTGGGCGACAAAAGGGAAACGCGATTTTTTGTTTGTTTGTTTGTTTTTTCCGAGACGGAGTCTCCCCGGTCACCCAGGCTGGAGTGCAATGGTGCAGCCTGCTCACTGCAACCTCTATCTTCGAGTGCAAGCAATTCTCCTGCCTCAGCCTGCCAAGTAGCTGGGATTACAGGCCCGAGCCAGCACACCCGGCTGATTTACTGTATCTTAAGTAGAGACGGGGGTTTCGCCATGCTGGCCAGGCTGGTCTTGAATTCCTGACCTCGTGATCCGCCCGCCTCGGCCTCTCAAAGTGCTGGGATTACAGGCGGGACCCACGGCGCCTGGGCTTTTCCGCCATCTTTTTATTTATTTATTCATTTTGAGACGGAGTTTCGCTGTTCTTGCCCAGCCTGGCGTGCAATGGCGCGATCTGGGCTCACTGCAACCTCCGCCTCCTGGGTTCAGCCAATTCTCCTGCCTCAGCCTCCTGAGTAGCTGGGATTACAGGGACGCGCCACCATGCCCAGCTAATTTTTTGTATTTTTAGTAAAGACAAGGTTTCACCATGTTGCCCAGGCTGGAGTGCAGTGGCTGTTCACAGGCGCAATGCCACTACTGATGAGCATGGGAATTTTGACCTGCTCCGTTTCCAGCCGGGGTTGGTTCACCCCTCTTGAGGCAACCTGGTGTTCCCCTGCTCCTGGGAGGTCACCATATTGATGCCGAACTTGGTGCGGACACCTGATCGGCATAGTGCACTACAGCCCAGAAATCCTGGGCTCAAGCGATCCTCCCACCTCAGCCTCCCGAGTAGCTGGGACCACAGGCACGCGCCACCATGCCCAGCTAATGTTTTGTATTTTGTATTTTTTTAGTAGAGACGGGGTTTCACCATGTTGACCAGGATGGTCTCGATCTCCTGACCTCATGATCCACCCACCTCGGCCTCCCAAAGTGCTGGGATTACAGGCGTGAGCCACCGCGCCCGGCGGTTTTTTGTTTTTTTGAGACAAGATTTTGGTCTGTCACTCAGGCGACAGTGGAGCAAGATTTTGGTCTGTTACTCAGGCTACTATAGGATCCTCCTTACTCTGTTCCATCGAACAGAGTAAGGGATTACAGGCGTGAACCACCATACCCAGCTGGGTTTTTGAATTGTTTATTTATTTATTATTATTATTTTTTAAACATGGGGTTTCTCGGCCGGGCGCGGTGGCTCAAGCCTGTAATCCCAGCACTTTGGGAGGCCGAGGTGGGTAGATCACGAGGTCAAGAGATCGAGACCATCCTGGTCAACATGGTGAAACTTCGCCTCTACTAAAAATACAAAAAATTAGCTGGGCACGGTGGCGTGTGCCTGTAATCCCAGCTACTCAGGAGGCTGAGGCAGGAGAATTGCCCGAACCCAGGAGGCAGAGGTTGCCGTGAGCCGAGATCGCGCCATTGCACTCCAGCCTGGGTAACAAGAGCGAAACTCCGTCTCAAAAAAAAAAAAGAAAAAGAAAGATGGGGTTTCTCCACGATGGCCAGGCTGGTCTTGACCTCCTGACCTCAGGTGATCCACCCACCTCGGACTCCCAAAGTGCTAGGATTACAGGGGTGAGCCACCACACCCATCCTTTGAATTGTTTTTTTAATTTTTAATTTTAACATGTCTATATTTTTTGAGATGGAGTCTTGCTGTGTCACCCAGGCTGGAGTGTACTGGTGGGATCTCAGCTCACTGCAACCTCCTCCTCCCGAGTTAAAGGGATTCTCCTGCATCAACCTCCCAAGTAGCTAGGACTACAGGCGCGTGCCACCACACTCAGCTAATTTTTTTGTATTTTTAGTAGAGACAGTATTTTGCTATGTTAGCTAGGATTGTCTCGATTTCTTGACCTCGTGATCTGCCCGCCTCAGCCTCCCAAAGTGCTAGGATTACAGGCGTGAGCCACTGCACCCGGCCTTTTTTTTTTTTTTTTTAATTTATTGTTTTAAAAAAATTGAGACAGAGTCTTGCTCTGTCGCCAGGCTGGAGTGCAGTGGCACAATCTCGGCTCACTGCAACCTCAGCCTCCTCCTTAGGCATGGTGGTGCGTGCCTATAATCCCAGCTATTCAGGAGGCCGAGGCAGGAGAATTGCCTGAACCTGGGAGGTGGAGGTTGCGGTGAGCCGAGATTGCACCATTGCACTCCAGCTTGGGTAACTGGAGCGAAGCTGTTTCAAAAATAAAATAAAATGATGAAATTGGAAGCCATTAGACTGAAGTAGCTCTAATGCACTGAGTTCCTACATAAGGAAAATGAAACTTAAAATTAGCCAGGTGCAGTGGCTCACGCCTGTAATCCCTGCACTTTGGGAGGCTGAGGCTGGTGGATCACCAGAGGTTGGGAGTTGGAGACCAGCCTGACCAACATAGGGAAACCCCGTCTCTACTGAAAATACAAAATTAGCCGATGTGGTGGTGCATGCCTGTAATCCCAGCTACTTGGGAGGCTGAGCAGGAGAATCACTTGAACCTGGGAGGCAGAGGTTGCGGTGAGCTGAGATCATGTCACTGTACTCCAGCCTAGGCAAGAAGAGTGAAACTCCATCTCAAAAAAAGTAAAAAGAAAAAAAGAAACTTAAAACTCAACCATAAGTGGCCAACTAGCCATGAGTTATATTGCCTTGAACTTCCCATAGCAAGAGTCCAAATAAGGCAACTGCTCAAACTTTAACCAATCAAATAATTTCTTTGCTATGGTTTGTGTCTATGAAAGCTTTCCTTTCAACCACCTCTGGGAGAGCCCCAAACCACTTATGACTTGGAGCTACCCAATTCATGAATTGCTGTTTGTTCAAATAAGCTCTTTAAAATATTAATGTGCCAAAGTTAACCTTTTAACAGATAGGGATAGTACAGGGTGCACTGAGGACATATAATGAGGTCGGGGGGGCCAGGCGGAGTTGGAGCACTAATCTAGTACGGACTGCCAGAGAAGACCTCTCTGATAAAAAGATATGTGGGTTAAGTCTTGAATGATGAACAGGACTTTGAACAGTGAAAAGCAGAGGGACAAGGATTCCAGGAAGAGAGAATAGCAGTGAAAAAAAAAAATAGAGACAGAGGAACTTAATACACAAGTAGTCTTACAATAAACTTACAATTTGATGTAACTTAATTCCCTAACCAAATTACAATTTGATATAACCTAATTATAGTTCGATACAACCTTGAAAGCAACAGAACCTAATACATAATGATCCAAAGTCAAATAAGATATGCTGCCAACTCTAAGGAAGCTCAGAGGCAAATAAGTGAGATGTATTTGTATTCTCTATTCTTTTTTTCATCATTAAAAAGATATGGGTAAAGGGATCAATACTTATTACCTAAATGACCTTAAGCAAATTATTTAATCTCTTTAAAACTTGGATAATAGTAGTTGTCCTGCCAATTTCAACTGTTAGTTACATCTGTCAGGTTTCTTAAGTGCAATAAACAGAAACCATCTATAAATTATATAAAAGCTGAAAATGTATTTATTAAGGGATATCAAGCAGCTCACAGCTCTTCCAGAGGCTGAAGAAACAGGCTAGAAGTTCTCCTCCCAATAAAGCCTCCTACTACCAACACTGCAGCTTGCACCAATATACTGATGCTGGACACTGGTTGCTGGTGATAGAACGTTGCAGTCTCAGAAACTAGATGTGGTTATTGTGGCTGTCACCCTTACTTCATGTGCATTTGGATTTCATGGCCATCTTCTTTCAATAGACACTCCTACCAGTGTATCCAAAATCTTGTTTTTATGGACTCCCTGAAGTCCTTCTTCTGGTTGTAGTTCAAGTTTGTGTTGGGTGCATCAAATTAGATTGGAGAGTCTAGCAAGCCATAATACTCATGTCCCAGTAGTAAGGAAGACTAAGAAAGCCAGGATCTGTCACTTTCAGTTCCTATAAGGGTGTTGGGAGGCAGGGTAAGGGAGAAACTCTGCCAAAAGGATGACAAATGACCACTGCAAATAGGGTGGGCTCAAATGAGATAATTACATGAAAACGTTTCACAAACTAAGGGAGAATTCAGCCACGTAACATTATCTGATTTTGTACGGTATAGATTTTTAACTACTTGAGGAAAGGCAAGTTGGAAATGCAATGTGTAAAATAATGTTAAAATCCCAAAACATATGCAATCACATTTAAGCTCTGTCTATGAAGATCGGAAGGAAACATACAGTGAAAGTTATTTTATTAGAGAAGTGAGAGTTGAGGTGAAGTAGTTTAAAAAAAAAAAAAGACATTTTCCATTGAATTCACAGTCTTCCTCACAAACTTGCATCCCAATTCTGATGATAGGAAGCTTAAAGACACAAAGCTTCGGCTGAAATGAGGAATAGAACGGTTGGTGCCAGAATCGCATCTATACTTCATGATGCATTGGGTACGCTATGCAATCCTAATAGGAAGGAAAACTACCACTAATTAGGAGTTTAGAAAATTGCATAATGCGGGCCGGGCGCAGTGGCTCACGCCTGTAATCCCAGCACTTTGGGAGGCCGAGGCGGGTGGATCACGAGGTCAAGAGATCGAGACCATCCTGGTCAAGATGGTGAAACCCCGTCTCTACTAACAATACAAAAAAATGAGCTGGGCATGGTGGCGCGTGCCTGTAATCCCAGCTACTCAGGAGGCTGAGGCAGGAGAATTGCCTGAACCCAGGAGGCGGAGGTTGCGGTGAGCCGAGATCGCGCCATTGCACTCCAGCCTGGGTAACAAGAGCAAAACTCCGTCTCAAAAAAAAAAAAGAAGAAAAGAAAAAGAAAATTGCATAATGCTGCCTACCACGTAATAACTTCAAATGTAACCTGTTACACGTTAGCCAACGTGAGATTACATAGGGACATAGCAAAACTCGCTAGAGTTAGTTCAGATAAAGCACAGAGAGATTGCTCTGATTACCAAGAAAACCAAACATTCACACAAACTGTTTTCTTTCAGGCCGCCCCGCTGTTTTCCACTTCTTCCAAAAAGCGCTTTAGAGTGAAGAAATAAACATCCGTCCTCAACTCTCGCGAGAGCTCCGCGTGTAACCAGGGCTGAGGCGGAGGATTGGTCTCTCAGACTGAAGAGCCTCCGCCATCACGCCCCGGTTGCCAGGATACGCTGAAGCGCAGGGCCGCTAGTGGGTAGGCCTGAGAGCCGAGGAGAAGTGCGCGTGGGCGAACAGATGTGCACGGCCTCGGGAAGAACTTACGGCATCCACGAGCTGGGCCTCCGCCCTCCTTACGCGCTGGCGGAGGTGAGAAACCCCAGGTCCCATCTCTTCCTCCTTCCCTTCCTTCCTCCCTGGTTTGTTCTCTGGCCTTGGAGATGTTGATCCGCCCCAAACAAGATAAATTCCAACTCTTGACTTAGCTGTTACCGTCGGGCTTGTAGCCAGGTCAGGCAAGTTTCAATTCTAGTCGGGCGAACAGCCAACAGACCCAACACACCCCACTCCCCTAAGGAGACCCACCAAGCAGATAGCAGAGGAAAGGACAACGATGGGCTAAAAAGGATTTTAGTCGAAGCAGTAGATTTCTGCCTGTTACTCACAGTGGAAGGAACTTATTTCTGTCTGTTGGTCACAGTGCGGGCAGTTAGCAGTTTTTCACTTCTTCACATATGTGAGAATGTTTGGCTTAGGGAGGATAATGATAGTAATAATAATTAGAAGCCAGATGTTTTAAATTTAATATCTGTCATCTTCACAACAGCTCTGTAAGGTAGAGCTTATTGTCACCCTTCTGTTTTACAGATGATGAAACATCCTGAGGGGTTAAGTAAGGGCAAAATTATGCAGCTGCTAACTTCGGCAGCACTAGTTTGTATCGCTAATCTTTCTGCATCCAGAGGCCAGGCTGCCTTTCTGATTGTGTGAATAACTGGAAATTGTGTAAATCTGATTGAATAACTACGGAGTTGGTGGCGTATCTGTTGCTAATACCTACTTCTTAATCCCACTGGGACTAATATAATGATAAGGTTTTTTTCACCTCAGCGAAGCAGTGGCAAAGAAAATTGGGTGAAATTTCTGTTTATTATACATTTTCTCAAAGTTAGCAGGAAACCTAGAGTAATATCTTCTCTACTGGAAAGAGATGTTTATTGTACTCGTTTTCTTTTGGAGAAACCGTACTGATCATAGACCCTGTCTTCCTTTCAAAAAGTCATTTTCTGAAATTCCTTTTTCCATTTGAAATTCTATTGCTTTGTACATAGAGTTCAAAATGGCAAGGAAATTAGAATCATGGAGCTAGTTGGGACAGGAAGATTGGTGTGACCATATTCAAATGAGATATCTGAATGGAAGTTTTAGATAAGCAATTGAAAACTCAGAATTGGTGCCCAGTTGAAAGGACAGAACTGTCGGCCTTGATTAAGGAGCCATACACATAGTTGGAGTTATAAAGATGCATGATTGTAGAAAGGATAGAAGCAATCCAAGGACTGGTTATGAATAATGCTCAGAAAAGTAGTATTGGACATGGAGTGTAGAAACAGAGAAATCATTTTGGTCCAACACACACTTCGTTTGCTTTTTAACAATTTAGTAAATTTTTGTAATTGGCAATACCTTTATGTAGGAGGAAATTTTAAAAGTATGAACGAGAACAGAAAGTTTTTGCTTGTGACTGAGACAGATGCTGGGGATATAAAGATTAGTAAGATTCAGCTCTTGCCATCAAGGGTGAGAAATACTTCAGCAGATCATTTCAAATGGTGTAATAGTTTCTGGAATAAAGAAATACACAGGCTGCATGGTAACATGTAGAACAGGCCTAGACTCAAATTGAAGAAGAAGAAGATTCCAAGACCAGTTATGGACAAGTCATGTAAGGATTCCTACAGAAAGTAACAGGCAAGATGTGTGTTAGGCAAGGGGACCACTTAAGAGGTTGGTATAATGGCCCACTTGAGTCAGTGATGCCCTGAATTGGCCAATGCTGTAGGAATAGAGAGTAAAGTACCTGTTAAACATTTAGGAACAAAATTGGTAGAACTAAACAAACTCAGTAGAACTATGTGATCAGCCATGGGAAGTGAGGGAGAGGGAGATATCAGGGACTAAATTTCTGACTTGTGTGACTAGGAGGTGATACCAAGAAGAAGGACAAATTCTGGGGAGATGATAATGAGTTTGGATTATATGTATTTACTTTGAAATACTTAGGCATCTAAGTGGAGATGTTAAGTTATTATTTGGATATAAACACCGCAAGCTGAGTGCTAAAATAAGAGCTGGACATATGAAATTGTGTGTAACCAGCTTATTAATTGTTAAAGCCCTGAGTGTGGGTAAGGGGGCCCAAGGAGAGCTTAGAGAGAGAAAAGAAAAAGACAGTGGATGGATTCTTAGAAAATGCTGCTATATAAGGACAGATCAAGAAGACAGAAAGAAGAAATAGAAGAGAGGGAAGTGTCATGGAGATGTTTCATGTAAATGTGGACACCAGTAAAATAGGATGCCATTTACAACACTGGCAGTATTGGCAGGGGGCATTCAGGAGATAGTGGGAAATGAAGAAGTAGAAAATAGTGGATATAAACTATTCTTAAGAATCGGGCTGCGGGCCGGGTGTGGTGGCTCAAGCCTGTAATCCCAGCACTTTGGGAGGCCGAGGCGGGTGGATCACCAGGTCGAGAGATCGAGACCAACCTGGTCAACATGGTGAAACCCCGTCTCTACTAAAATACAAAAAATTAGCTGGGCATGGTGGCGTGTGCCTGTAATCCCAGCTACTCAGAAGGCTGAGGCAGGAGAATTGCCTGAACCCAGGAGGCGGAGGTTGCGGTGAGCCGAGATTGCGCCATTGCACTCCAGCCTGGGTAACAAGAGCGAAACTCCGTCTCAAAAAAAAAAGAATCGGGCTGCATAAGGGAAGGATATATGGGACAGAGTTAGATAGAGGTGGTTGCAGGATCAAGAAATTAGTTTTTGAAGGTCGGAAATAATTGAACATGGTAACAGACTGAAGGAAAGGAGAACGTTTAAAGATAGTGGTAGCAGTGAGGGTAATGCCACAAAGAAGGTGGGATCAAGGGTAAATTAGAGTAGAGATTGATCTTGGATGAGAGAAGGAATGGCTGTTGAGATTGGACAGCAGGATGGATGTAGAGAAGTTGAGTGCCCCAAAGGTGATGGAGTTCAAGTCGTAATTTTCTTAAATGAGTCATCTGCTGAGAGTGGCAGGAACAGAGAGGTTAAATGGAAAAGTAATTAAGGAGGAGAGTTATCAAATAGAGCAGTATCTTATCAAGGACAAATAATTTCTGAAATGAGGGTCCAGCGAAAATTTGTGACTATCATTTGTCAGTACCCCAGTCTGTACAGTTGCATGGTTTCCACCAGCAATGTTCAGCAGATCAGGTTGGATGTAGAGAAGGGTTTCTGATTTTGCCAGTTGGGTTGGAGAATAGTTCAAGGATACAAATTAGTTGATGGTGCTCATGAGACAGTAAGTTCATGAGAGAAGGAGGAGAGTTCTTAAACACCCTTGGCAAGGTATCACTAGTGACTTCTTGGACGGGGACTCCGTTGGACATTCCAGTTTTCATCGTATTTGAATTCCCAGCTGTAAATGGCATGGCTCACCATTCTTGCCTTCTCTTGGCATCTCTGACACACACTCCTGGTTTTTCCTTTGCCTTTTGGGCCTTAATTTTCATTCTTATACCAGTTTTTCCTCTTCTGTGTGATCTGTATGTATTGACATTCCTCAGAACAGAATCTTGGGCACTTTTCTCTTTTTCTCCATGTTCTCTCTCTAGATAAGTATCTTCATAACTCTTTTATATGACCTACAATAGGACATACATTTTTATGTCGTAGCCCAGTAAACACATATGTGTAAATTTATGTAAATATGACTGAAACAAAAATTTAATGAAACAATATTTACCCTTCATATGTTCAGTGAACTCTCTCTTTAAAAAAATTTTATTTTACATTTAAAGCATATTGGTCAAAACCTGCAAAATTGTTTTTGGAACTCACTAATGGATTGTGACCAACAATTTGAAAACTACTATGCAAAAAATTATCAGACAGAATTTTAAATAATATTATATCCTGATAAATAAAAGAGAGGGTTGATGAACTAGGAGAGAATGAGTGAATTAAGGAAATGGTTTAAAGGCAGGTGTAGTGGGAATAAAGATGAGCAAAGGGTAGAAGGAGAGGAGAAGACCCAAGAATAGAGTATTTCAATTAAGATGTTTGAGATGAAGCAATTCCAGATGGTGACAAGCTCCATGTCTTGCCATGGCTATGAATGACTGAAATGGAGTTAAGATCATTGCCGAAGTTGAGGTGAGAGAACTGTGAAGCTGGAATATTAAGTATTGGGTCTAGTATCCAAATGGAGGTCATCCAGGATGATGGTAAGATTGGAATAGAGAAGGTGTGAACTGTGTACACAAGACCTTAGAGAGATTAGGAAGTCACTAATTACCAGCAACCAGGAAAGATGAAGGCAACATTGTTATATTCCCGGATCCTCAAAAGAGGTAAATCTTATTTATTTTTTTAAAGGTGTGCAAGAATGTTTTAAAAGTGACACTGGGGAGCAAGGAGAGTGCCACCTCCTTTGCTTTAAAATTGTGAGACAGGAAGCTAAAACACTTTGACTACAGAAAGTATTCTCTCAGGGGAAGCCAAGATTCTGTTAAAAGTTAAGAGAATAGGAAGTCTTTGTAACAAATGCGGAATATAAGAGAGTTAATCGTGGACCAGAAAGTGCAGAGAAAAGACTGGGAGCAAAGAAAGATGTTGGATATGCCAAGAGAGAAAACTTACCAGAGTATGGAATGAGAATACTAAAGAGACAGACAGATAACTAGAGGAGCTTGCATTTTGGTAAGATAATAGAAAGACAAGGAAGGAATGTTGCAAGAAACAATCTAATATTTCTAAATGGAGCACTGATGGCAAATTTGAACAAAATTAAAGCAGAGTCAGCCTTATCGTGGCAATTTGCAAGAACAGTTGTTGTGAATTAAATGTAAGGGTATGATGGGTCATTTGTCTTCTAGAGAAGATATCAAAAGGCAATTGAACTATTTATTGCTTCCAAACAGTGATTAAAGTGAACAAACAATGGCCAGCAATCACAAATCTTCAGCAGCTCGCCCTGTTTCACGAGGTGGAGTTGGGTTAAGTGGAAGGCCTCCTTCTGGGATACGACCCCTATCAGGAAATACTCGAGTGGCAACTGCAGTAAGTTTGAAACAAATCTATTTATTTTGGGAGGCCAAGGTGGGAGGACCACTTGAGTCCAGAAGACTGGGGCTGCTTTTGCTGTATCCCATAGGTTTTGGATATGTTGTGTTTCCATTATAATCTGTTTCAAGAGTTTTAAAAAATTTCCTTTTTAATCTCTTCATTGACACACCTGTCATTCAGGAACAGATTTCTATGTGTTGGTATAGTTTCCAAAATTCCTCTTGTTATTAATTTGTAGTTTTATTCCATTATGGTCAGATAAAATACTTGATATAATTTCAGTTTTAAAAAATGTTATAAGACCTGTTTTGTGGACTAACATATGGTTTATTCCTGAGAATTGGATAATTCATGTGCTGAGAAGAATATGTATTCTGAGTCGTTGGATAAAATGTTCCGTAAATATCTGTTAGGTCCATTTGCTCCAGATGATGTCTGATTTTTTTGTTGTTGTTGTTGATATTCTGTCAGGATCATCTGTCTGGTGCTGAAAATAGGGTGTTGAATCTTCAGCTGTTACTGGCCGGGATCTCTCTCTCTCTAGCTTTAGTATTTACTTTCTGTGTCTGGGTATTCCAGTATTGGGCGCATATATATTTACAATCCCTGTGTTCTCTTGTTGACTGGAGCCACCATTTATCATCACTTAATATCCTTATCTTTTTTGTATTTTTTTGAGACAGAGTTTCGCTCCTGTTGCCCAGGCTGGAGTGCAATGGCGAGATCTCAGCTCACCACAACCTCCGCCTCCCAGGTTCAAGCGATTCTTCTGCTTCAGCCTCCAGGTAGCTGGGATTACTGGCATGCGCCACCATGTCTGGCTAATTTTGGATTTTTAGTAGAGACAGGGTTTCTCCATGTTGGTCAGGCTGGTCTCAAACTCCTGACCTCAAGAGATCCACCTACCTCTGCCTCCCAAAGTGCTGGGATTATAGGCATGAACCATTGCACCTGGCCTGTATGAAAATTTTGTATCCCTTTATTTACGATCCATGTGTCTTTATAGGTAAAGTATGTTTCTTTTAGGGAGTAGATTTTTGGATCTTGTCTTTTTATCCATTCAGCCACCTGTGTCTTTTGATTGGAGAGTTTAGTCTATTTACATTCAGGACTTACCCCTTTTGTTTTGTTTTCTGATTGTTTTGTGGTCTTCTCTTCCTTCTTTCCTTCCTTCCTGTCTTCCTTTTAATGAAGGTGATTTTCTCTGGTGGTAGTGTGTGTGTGTGTGTGTGTGTGTGTGTGTGTGTGGTATGTTTTTTGATTTGAGATTATCAAGAGTCTTGCACATAATATCTTAAAACCCGTTGTTTTAAACCGAGAGCACTGATGGCACAAACAAAGAAATAAGCCAAGAGAAACTTAATGTAATCTTCTTAGTCTGGGCTTGTTTGTACCCATTCTTCTTGGAAAGGCTTTCTAGGAATTCAAAGAGATTTGGGTGTTGTCACTTACATTTTTGGTCACTGCAACTATGTCTGCATTGTTAGGGGATACTCCATGCCCAGTAATGCTGTTGCTCTTGCAGACTTGTAGAGGGATCACTTTGATGGTCTTGGGTGAGATTCAGAAGAATTATTTTTCATTTCTGATTGTGTTTATTTGGATTTTTCCTTTTCCTTTTTTGGTCAGTCTAGCTAGCGGTTTATGAACTTTTATCTTTTTGAAAAACCAACTTTTTGCTTCATTGATTACTCGTAATTTTAAAATTTTTGATCTTTAGTTATGTTCTGACCATTGTTATTTCTTTTCTTTTGTTAATTTTGTGTTTGGTTTGGCTTTGGTTTTCTAGTTCCTTGATGTGTGATATTAGGTCATCAATTTGTAATCTTTCTACTTTTTGGATGTAGGCATTTAATGCTGTTAACTTTCCTCTTAGCACTGTTTTTGATGTATCCCACAGATTTTTGTATATTTTGTTTTCCTTTTCATTTGTTTCCAAAATTTCTTATATTTCTGTCTTAAATTATTTATTAATCCAGCCATTGTTCAGGAGTTTGCTGTCTAATTTATATGTATTTGTATAATTTCTGAAGTTTTTGGTATTGATTTCCCACCCTTTTATTTTTACCAAGAAGCTTGCACATAATGTCTTAAAACCCATTGTTTTAAACTGAGAGCACTGATTACACAAACAAAGAATTAAGCAAAGAGAAACACTCAAATCCCTTTGATTTATATGTCTTTTAGGGCTAGATACATTTCTCATAGGCAGGATGTAGTTGGATATTGTTTTTGTTTATTTATTTTTTTTGAGACAGAGTCTCGCCCTGTCTCCAGGCTGGAGTGCAGTGGTGTGATCTCGGCTCACTGCAACCTCTGCCTCCCGGGTTCAAGCAATTCTCCTGTCTCCACCTCCTAAGTAGCTGGAATTACAGGCACACACCACCACATCGGGCTAATTTTTGTATTTTTATTACAGACAGGGTTTCATGACATTAGCCAGGCTGGTCTTGAACTCCTGACCTCAGGTGATCCACCGGCCTTGGCCTCCCAAAGTGCTGAGATTACAGGTGTGAGCCACCATGCCTGGCCATTTTGTTTCTAAATCTTCTGCTAATATGTATCTTTGAAGTGAGTCATTCAATTCGTTTATATCACATTTATGGTTAATATTGATGTGAGGCTTTGTTCCTATCATTTTGTTTGTTATTTTTAAGTTGTATAAATTGTTTCTTTCTTTTTCTCTTTTTATGGATTGATGAAATTATTTTATATTGACATTTAATTACTTTGTCCTCCTCCTTTGTGATTGTTGTATAAGAACTATGAGTTAAATTTTTTTGTGTGTTTTTGAGATACTGTATATCCACCTTTAATCTCTATGTTGAAGACCCCTTTGAACATTTACTGTAGGACAGGCCTAGTGGTAACACATTCCCTCAGTGTTTGCTTGTCTTAGAAATACTTTATTTCTCCTTCATTTATGAATCTTACTCTGTCAGGATATGAAACTCTTGGCTGATACTTTTTTTTGTTTGTTTGTTTTCTCAGCACTTTGAAAATTACATCTGATTATCTTCTCCCATGTAGTATTTCCACTGAAAAGTCTGCTTTTATTCTGATAGGATTGTCTTTATAAGTGACTAGATACTTTTACTAATTTTAAAATTCTTTCCTGGGCTGGGTGCGGCGTCTCATGACTGTAATCCTAGAACTTTCAGAGGCTGAGGCAGGTGGATCACCTGAGGTCAGAAATTTGAGACCAGCCTGGCCAACATGGAGAAACCCCGTCTCTACTAAAAATGCAAAAAAGTAGACAGGCTTGGTGGTGTGTGCCTGTAATCCCAGCTACTGGGGGGCTGAGGCAGGAGGATCGCCTGAACCTGGGAGGTGGAGGTTGCAGTGAGCCAAGATTATGCCACTGCACTCTAGCCTGGGCAACAGAGCGGGACTCCGTCTCAAAAAAAAAAAAAATTATTTCCTTCACTTTGACTTTAGACATTCTGGTAATATGCTGTGGTAAAGTCATTGCAAAAAAAAAAAAGTCATTCATTTAATGTTTACATTAATGTTTATGTAATGTTTACATTTTTTGTTTGCATTTAATGCAGTTTGTTTAATGTTTGCATTTTTGAGAATAGTAATGCTTGTATAAAACATACAAACAATGTTATAGCAACAGAAAAAAAAAAGAGAAAAAACATACAAACAGGCCAGGCATGGTGAGCCTGTAATCCTAGCACTTTGGGAGGCCAAGGTGGGTGGATCACGAGGTCAAGAGATCGAGACCATCCTGGCCAACATGGTGAAACCCCGTCTCTACTAAAAATACAAAAATTAGCTGGGTGTGGTGGCGTGTGCCTGTAGTCCCAGCTACTTGGGAGGCTGAGGCAGGAGAATTGCTTGAATCCAGGAGGTGGAGGTTACAGTGAGCTGAGATTGCGCCACTGCACTCCAGCCTGGCACCTGGCAACAGAGTGAGACTCTGTCTCAAAAAATAAAAAAACACAAACAGTGGAGAAGCATTAGGGTTCCTTCCTATTGCAGGTATAACCACTATCAACAGTATCTTCTAGACTTTTTAATGCATTTATTTATTTATTTTTGAGATGGGGTCTCTCACTGTTGCCTGGGCTGAAGTGCAACGGTGTGATCTTGGCTTACTGCAATCTCTGCCTCCTGGGTTCACGCGATTCTCATGTCTCAGCATTTTGAGTTGCTGGGATTACAGGCACACGCCACCACACCTGGCTAATTTTTTTTTTTTTTTCTGTGTTTAGTAGAGTCGGGGTTTTGCTATGTTGGCCAGACTGGTCTGAAACGCCTGACCTCGTGATCCACCTGGCTCGGCCTCCCAAAATGCTGAGATTACGGGCATGAGCCACCACGCTTGGCCCTTTTTAATGCATATATAAACACACACATATACATACATAGTTTGTATGACTTTGGTCTATTCCAAAATCAAGATAGTACTATATACATTGTTATTTTTCTCGTCCATTTCTTTCAGCAATATATTATGAATATGTTGCCAAGTGAGCACGTATGCATCCACTTCATTATTTTTAATGTGTATAGTTTTAACCTATATGTTTTTCTCTATACTTTCATCTGGTGAACGGAAAGCAAAAAGTGGTATAATTAGTTGAGTAGCTCTCACAATTATACTTGCATAAAGCCAAAGAAGAAATTATTTAGAAAATTTACCAGGAAGAGATTGAACAGTCTCTTCTAAAGATCACTTGGGTTAACCCTAAACTCATTTCATTTTAATTTATAGTTGACAGTCTTCCTGTGTCCAACACATTCTCTAGTATTAATACTATTCCTGGCCTCTGTGCTCAAAATAATTCCCAAGTAATTCTTAGAACCACTTAAGAACCATGTTACCAATGTTGTCTGATTGGATTAAAGCTGTGAGCTAAGATAATTAACAACAATAAAAATGAATAGCAGTGGTTGTATCTAACCCCTATCTAAAATTTTTACCCCACATTTAATGTTCTACTTTACTCTTTGATGGAGACGGGGAGAAAAGAGAGTAAGGAGGATAACTAGATGAAGGACAGTTATTTTGGAACACTTTCAGGTTGTCTTTTTTATGTTCTCATGCCTGAATGTATTATGTGAACTGACATAAAGGGAGTCTTCTGGACTTTGCTGAGGGTATATAATGTTATATTGGATTTTGCATATCTGAAGTAGAGAATCATATTGAGTAATAGCATGAATGCTTGTTTAATAATGTAAACCCTTTAGTACTTATATCATCATCTTAGGATAGATTTATATCCATTCGTTTTTACATGATTAAAGTTTTCTTATTTTCTCTTAATTTTTAAAGGTGATATATACTCACTGTAATAAGGTGTAAATATCAAATTGTATAAAGGAGAAAAGAAAAATCAACTATGATATCATGTATAGATCATAATTACTATTTTTATATAGTTTTTTAAAAATTTATTTTTATCTTTATTCTTTATTTTTTTAAAAGATGGTCTATGTTCTCCAGGCTGGCCTCAAACTCCTGGATTTTAAACAACCCTCTCATCTCAGACCTCACCAAGTAGCTGGGACTCTTGGTGCATGCCACCATGCCCAAACTTCCAGCCTTTTTTGTTTTAAAAAAGTAGAGTTATGAACCAGGCACAGTAACTTGTACCTGTATTCCCAGCACTTGGATGGCTAAGGCAGAAGGATCTCTTTAGGCCAGTTGTTCAAGACCAGCCTGAGTAACATAGTTAGCTCTTGTCTCTAAAACATACAAATACAGAATTATAAATACTATCTTGTAAACGGCCTATTTATTTATTTATTTATTTATTGAGACGGAGTCTTGCTCTGTTGCCAGGGCTGGAGTGCAGTGGCGTGATGCCAGCTCACTGCAATCTCCGTGTCCCAGGCTCAAGTGATTCTCGTGCCTCAGCCTCCTGAGTAGCTGAGACTATAGGCATCTACCATTACGCTCAGCTAATTTTCTGTATTTGTAGTAGAGACAGGGTTTCACCATGTTGGCCAGGCTAGTCTCCAACTCCTGACATCGTGATTCGCCCACCTTGGACTCCCAAAGTCCTGGGATTACAGGCATGAGCCACCGTGTCCGGCCTGCCTTTTTACTTTTATTTATTTTATTTATTTATTTTGAGGCTGAGTCTCACTCTGTCACCCAAGCCAGAGTGCAGTGGCATGATCTCGGCTCACCGCAGCCTTGGTGTCCCGGGTTCAAGCGATTCTCATGCCTCAGCCTCTTAAGTAGCTGGGATTACAGACATGTGCCACCCACACCTGGCTAACTTTTGTATTTTTAGTAGAGATGAGGTTTTACCATGTTGGCCAGGCTGGTTTCACACTTCTTACCTCAAGTGTCCCACCTGCCTTGGCCTTCCAAAGTGCTGAGATTACAGGTGTGAGCCACCACACCCAACTTAAACTGCCCTTTTTACATACTGTAACTTATTTAACCATTTTCTACTGTGGACATTTAGCTCCTTTCCAGTTTTAAGGTATTATAAATAATATCTACATATGGAATTTTAAATTTTCATGAAATGTATTTTTAAATATTCATATAACATTAAATGTTAAATAAATTTGCTAATAAATTGAATAACAGTATTTAATAATTCAGACATTTAAAATAATGAAATTTTTACAAATCAGGTAAATGCTGGTGGGGTTTTTTTGTTTTCATTTTTTTTCTTTAATGCATCTTTCCAGGACAAAAAATAATATCCAAAGATATTTTGGCACTAACAGCGCGACCTGTAGCAAGAAAGTTGAGCAGTCTATTTGAACTGTTGATTCTTCCAAGGAGACCTCAGAGAGCCAAGACAGTGTAAAGGAAAATATGAACAAAAGGCTTCGTAGACATTATTAAGGGCACGAAAATTGAATTAAGCACAATTAAGGTACAAACAACAAAGCCACCCAACAGGAGACCACTTAAAAACTACCACTGGCAGGCTTCAAAGAGCTACAGAACATGCTCCAAAGGAGAGATAAATTTAATTGTGATTTGAATGTTGTCTTTACAGTCTTACAATAGCAGATGTACAGTGTTTTTTCCAGTGTACTAAAAATGAAATCTTGTTTGTCATTTAGATGCCACCTGGGACAGCAAGGCCAGGTTCTCGTGGTGTTCCCATAGGGACGGGTGGAGTTCTGTCTTCTCAAATCAAAGTTGCCGATCGTCCTGTGACACAACAAGGTTTGACTGGAATGAAAACTGGGATGAAAGGTACCCATTTTAAGATGAGTATCCACTTGGGTCTGTGTTTTGTAAGAAATAAATAATTGTGAACAATAAAAGAAAAAGAGAATGTTGAGTATATTTTGTATAGTAAGCACTATTTTATTAAATCAGAATTATAGCATATAAGAATTATTACATGAAATGTAATCAGAATTATAGCATGTAATTGTTATTTAATTCACAAAATTGTTGTACGGTATAAACAACAGAAGGAACATGGAAAAGCATTCTGAATTAGCTATATACAGATGTGAGCTCTTTCGATCTTCATTTTTCTGACATGGAGCTGTAGTATGACTTGAAGAACTTTGAAATAATATTCAAGAAAAGTTCAAGATTGAAAATTAGATTTTTAGCACTATATAGAAATACTTTGAAATAGTTTGGATAGTTACTATATCAAAATGATACTTAAAATACTTGTGTATTTATGAGAGTGAGTCAGAAATGTTATTTTTTTCTAATAATTAGTATCTGTTCTAATACTTGTATAAGGAAATGAGGCTAACACGTAGATTTATATTAAATCTCTCATTATGCTTCTGTATATGTACTTAGAGACGCATAAGAATACAAATATATATTATAGTTTAAAATTTAGGTCTGTGGTATATATAAACCAAAGTATGGTAAACGCCTTATTTTTTTTTTTTCCTTTCATTATAGGCAGTGGTCAGTAGCCTGTGATGAACTGTTTTAGAGTTTTTTGTTTTCTGTAGTTTTGACAGATGATTTATCAGGAATGAAGATATTCTGCCAGTCCAAAATTAATTATAACATATTATATATACTACTTTCTATAATATAGTATATCATTCCTTTCAAGAAACTTAAATTTTCTCACCTACATTCTAATAACATTTATATCACTAAATATTAAAAATCAATTGATTGTTTAGAAATGTTTGCTTTGATTATGAGTACCATGAAAAAATAATTCAAAATTACATAGTCACTTAACTAGTCTTTGAAAGTGTATGCACAGAAATATTTATATGTTTAATATTATTTTAAAACATTAGGGTAGAAACATATTAAAATTCTACAGTAAATTATCAAATGTTTATTTCTGTATTAATTTATCCTTTCAAACAGAACCAATATAATTTACGATTGTTAGTTTCTACCAGTATACGTCAAAGCCTTTTATGAGAGAATTCTGAACATTACCACTACACACAGCTATCCGCTGTGAATTTCATTCTTACCTTCTCTAGTGCCCCACTTCCCAGTATGATATATTACCTCTACTACTCAGCATAAACCTTTTAGTAAATACACCTAGTCTTCTCATACTTGGCAGGGCACTTTTTATCTCTTACCAGGTTTAAGACATTTAACCTAGGAATACTTTCTTAGTCCTACCGAAATGTAAGACCATTTCTAAAAAAGCCTCTGAGACAAGTTGTAAAAAATCAGAATCATTTAATCACATTGAGAAATGTCTACAATGTCTAATATGACAGCCAATAGTCAGAAATAGCTACTTATATTTAAATCAGTTCCCCAGTAGCACCAGCCAAATTTTAAGTGCTCTATAGTCGCACTGCCCACTTTCTGTCACTGCAGAAAGTTACTCTGGACAGCTCTGTTCTGGATTCCCTTAGACTCAATTTTCATTCCATCAGCCTGTTCTGTAGAGTCTACTGTCTTAACAGCCCCACTTCTGGCCCCATCCTTGTAGTTTTAATTGAAGTTTCCCCTGTGTCATGGTTCTAAGATACTAGTTTTCTTTTCTGTTTGAGTGATTCTTCTTGATTCATTGGGACATTCATGAAGACTGTCTTTAGAATTGTGGAGTGTAATTCTGATTGTGTTTTGGACTTGCTATTTTGTTGGCATTTCAAAACTGAACACCAACATTTAAAACATTTTTTTTAGGTCCCCAGAGGCAAATTTTAGACAAGTCTTACTATCTTGGGCTTCTTAGGTATGTTAAACATGTCTTTATATCTGTATGTTTTACTTCAAATATTGTGAACATTCTGTCAAAATAGAGTATATAACTTTAATATGAAATTTTAGCTATGGAACTTATTAGGATAATTAGGTGTCTGTTGATTTCTAAGAATTATTTTGTATTCCAACAATTTCTGGTTAACTTGGCTATGCTGTAAAATAAATGTGGTAGTATAATTAGGCTGAGATTTATAATGTTATGAATTTGCATGTATAAGATGAGTTTGTTTGTGCTGCTATAATAAAATAACCTGAGATTGGGTAATTTGTAAGTAATAGAAATTTATTTCTTACTGTTCTGGAGTCTGGGAAGTCCAAGATCAAGGTGCCAGCAGTTTCAGTGTCCTCATGGCAGAAGAGTGGAAGGGCAAAAGGTGCCTAGCTACTTCAACCCTTTTTTTTTTTTTTTTTTTTTTTTTTGAGGCAGAGTTTCACTCTTGTTACCCAGGCTGGCCCTGGAGTGTAATGGCGCGATCTTGGCTCACCGCAACCTCTGCCTCCTGGGTTCAGGCAATCCTCCTGCCTCAGCCTCCTGAGTAGCTGGGATTACAGGCACGCGCCACCGTGCCCAGCTAATTTTTTGTATTTTTAGTAAAGACGGGGTTTCACCATGTTGACCAGGATGGTCTCGATCTCTTGACCTCATGATCCAGCCACCTTGGCCTCCCACAGTGCTGGGATTACAGGCGTGAGCCACCACGCTCGACCGCTACTTCAACCCTTTTATAAGTCACTAATTCCATCCATGAAGGCAGAGCCTTCGTGGCCTGATTATGTCCTAAAGTTTCTATGTCTTAATACTAATGCATTAGAGATTAAGTTTTGATATGAATTTTGGAGGTACACAAATGTTCAAACCGTAGCATACTTGTAAATTAAATTAGATTTGTAGTTTAAAGACAGAGTCTCAGTCTGTTGCCCAGGCTGGAGTGCAGTGGCATGATCACAGCTCACTGCAACTTTGAACTCCTCAGTTTAAGCGATCTTCCTGCGCTAGCTTCCCAAAGTGCTGGGATTATGGGATTATAGGCATGAACTACCAGCACACCTGACCTCATAGCTTCTTTTTTTTTCAGACAAAGTCTCACTCTGTTGCCCAGGCTAGAGTGCAATGGTGTGTGATCTTGGCTTACTGCAACCACCACCTCCTGGGTTCAAGGGCTTCTCCTGCCTCAGCCTCCCAAGTAGCTGAGATGACAGACGTGTACCACCATTCCCAGCTAATTTTTTTTGTATTTTTAGTAGAGATGGGGTTTCACCATGTTGGCCAGGCTGATCTTGAACTCCTGACCTTGTGATCTGCCAGCCTTAGGCTCCCAAAGTGCTAGGATTACAGGCATAAGCCACTGTGCCAGGCCTCCATGCAGAGTTTTATATAAGTAGGTATTTGGTCAGTTGCTACGAATGTGGCCTAATTTTAATTAATTCATACGCTTTTTGTTTTTTGAGACAGAGTTTTGCTCTTTTCTCAGACTGGAGTGCAATGATGGGATCTCACCTCACTGCAACCTCCACCCCCCAGTTTCAAATGATTCTCCTGCCTCAGCCTCATGCCTACAATCTGCGAGTAACTGGCATTACAGGTGCCTCCCACCATGCCTGGCTAATTTTTGTATTTTTGTAGAGATGGAGTTTCACTGCGTTGGCCAGGCTAGTCTCAAACTCCTTGACCTCAGGTGATCCACCTGCCTAGGCCTTCCAAAGCGCTGGGATTAGAGGCGTGAGCCACTGCACTCGACCTCATAAATTTTTGTTATGTGTCTCCGGGGATGCATCTCTAAATCAACAACTTTTTCTTAATCTTAGCATTTTCTCTGCTTATGTATTCCACTGTCCTATCTCCATTTTTCCATTTTACTTCATTTTCTTCTTGGCACATGATTTGTATCTTCTTTCTCTTTATTTCTCTTTTATTTAATCCACCCTTCCATTATGCCCTGAAAGCCCTGCTACGTCGTCGTTGTCGTCGTCGTCGTTTTCTTCTTCTTCATTTTTTTTTTTTTTTTTTTGGGATGGAGTCTTGCTCTGTCGCCAGGCTGGAGTGCAGTGGAGCAGTCTTGGCTCACTGCAAACTCTGCCTCCTGGGTTCAAGTGATTCTCTTGCCTCAGCCTTCCAAGTAGCTGGGATTACAGGCGCTTGCCACCACACCCGGCTAATTTTTGTATTTTTAGTAGAAATGGGGGTTTTACCATGTTGGTCAGGATGGTCTCGACTTCCTGACCTCATGATTCGCCCACCTTGGCCTCCCAAAGTGCTGGGATTACAGGTGTGAGCCACTGTGCCCAGTTACTGGGATCCTTTTGATTTTCAAACTCCTAGAAGGCAATAAAGAAAAGTACAGTTTTCCTTCATCTGTTTTCAAAGCTTAGTAAGAAAGATAGTAAGGCTATCACTTGTTTAGTATCTCTGATATTGAGCCACTTTTTAATCAAAAGAAGGAAAGGAAATATAGTTATTCCTAATGATTATATTGCCTTTCTCCTCCAGGATTTGTGCTTCCACATCAAAGAATAGTTCTAGCTGTTTGTGTAATTGTCTGGCTCTAGCGCAGTGGTTCTCACCTTGTGGTGATTTTGCCCCCCAAGGAAGATTTGGCAATTTCTATGCATGTTTCTGGTTGTCATAAATGAGGTTAGAGGAAGTGCTACTGATATTCAGATCCAGGATGCTGGTAAACATTCTACAGTGTACAAAATATCTCTCAACATGAAATACTAATCACCGAACAAAATGTCATTAGTGCTACTGTTGAGAAACTGTCCTCTAGAGGGTAGCAAAAGCTGTGATGATAAGTTAGGCACCTAAATCTGCCCATGGCTTGTACTAGTTTGACCAGGCTTTCATTCTGGTTCTATTTCATCTTTGGTAAGCAATCTATGTCAGTTTCTGATCAGTTGAGTAGAATAGAATGAGATATACCTCATTTTTATTTTTTTTGAGATGGAGTCTCACTCTGTCTCCCAGGCAGGTTGGAGTGTAGTGGCACGATCTTGGCTCACTGGAACCTCCACCCCCCAGGTTCAAGCTGTTCTCCTTCCTCAGCCTCCATAGTAGCTGGGACTACAGGCATGCACCACCACACCTGGCTAATTTTTGTATTTTGAGTAGGGACAGGGTTTCACCACCTTGGCAAGGCTGGTCTTGAACTCCTGACCTCAAGCGACCTGCCTACCTTGGCCTCCCCAAAGTACTGGGATTGTAGGCATAAGCCACCATGCCAAGCCAGGATATACCTCATTCTTAATGAAATAAGCCACCTAGGCCAGGCGCGGTACCTCATGCCTGTAATCCCAGCACTTTGGGAGGCTGAGGTGGGCGGATCACAGGGTCAAGAGATCGAGACCATCTTGGCCAACATAGTGAAATCCAGACTCAACTAAAATACAGAAACTAGCCAGGTGTGGTGACGCACGCCTGTGGTCCCAGCTACTCGGGATGCTGAGGCAGGAGAATTGCCTGAACCTGGGAGGTGGAGGTTGCAGTGAGCCGAGATCGCGCCACTGCACTCCAGCCTGGCGCCTGGTGACGGAGCAAGATTCTGTCTCAAAAAAAAAAAAAGAAAGAAAGAAGCCACCTAAACTTTTTGCATTCTTTAGTGAACTTTAGTGAACTATTTACATTATTGTTATATATTAATGAAAAGTTTAAATTTTGCTTATTTAGAGTTTTCTGGATTAGAAGCATTGCTGACATTCTTATTTCTTTTCAAATAGAAGTAAAATAAGTGAACTTACTACTGAAGTTAATAGACTTCAGAAGGAAATAGAAATGTACAATCAAGAGAATTCAGTATATTTGTCATATGAAAAGAGGTGAGTAATAAGTATTCAGTATTAATTCAGTATTTTGTACTTATAATACTAAATTTGAAGTTATCCATATTGTTTGTAATATTCATTTCCTTATTTGAGTATATTTATGAATGTATATTTATGTATGCTTGCAGGGCCGAGACTTTAGCTGTTGAAATAAAAGAGTTTCAAGGACAACTAGCAGACTACAACATGGTATTGTATCTTTTCTAAGAGAATTTACTATGAATATTTTCGTTAGTTTTTACTACTGCTTTAAAAATACATTTTTTTAGTAGGCAAAGGACATGCACAGATACTTTTTGAATGAAGACAAACATGCAGCCGATAAGTATATGAAAAGAAGCTCATCTTCACTGATCATTAGAGAAATGCAAATGAGAACCATAATATACCATCTCACACCAGTCAGAATGGCTATTGCTAAAAAGTCAGAAATAACAGACGCTGGTGAAGTTGCAGAGAAAAGGGAATGCTTATACACTGTTGGTAGGAGTGTAAAGTAGATCAAACACTGCAGAAGCAGTGTGGCAATCCTCAAAAAGCTGAAAACAGAACTACCATTCAACCCGTCAATTCCATTACTGGGTGTATACCCAAAGGAATATAAATCATTCTGCCATAAAGACACATGCACACGTGGGTTCATTGGTGCACTGTTTACAGTAACAAAGACATGGAATCAATGTAAATGCCAATCAGTGGCAAACTGGATAAAGAAAATGTGGTAAATATATACCATGAAATACTATGTAGTCATAAAAAAGAACAAGATCATGTTCTTTGCAGGAACATGGTTGGAGCTGGAGGCCATTATTCTTAGCAAAGTAACACAGGAACAGAAAACCAAATACTGAATGTTCTCACTTATAAGTGGGAGCTAAATGATAAGAACACATAGACGGGAAAAACAGAGGGAAAGGATCAGAAAAAGTAACTATTGGGTACTAGCTTAGTACCTGGGTGACAAAATAATCTGCACGACAAACCCTCATGTCAACCCCAGCTGTACAGCAAACCTGCACATACACCCCTGAACCTAAAATAAAAATTTTTTAAATTTGAAAAACCAAAACATTTGATGAAAAAATAGTTATTAATTTATTATTTAAAATATCAAATAATACATGAATACATACTTACTGTGAAAGATGAAACCATAAAAAGTACAACAAAGTGTCCCTTTATTTTCTACTTCATTTCCCTCCCTAGAAATAACTTAGCTTAACAGATGAGTATGTATTCTTCCAATGTTTTTTGTAAAATATGTTTACTGACACATACACAAATGTACACATGCTTTTCTCTCTAAAAAATATTAAATTAATAATTTAAATAATTTTAAAAGTAGCTAAAATTCATTAAATCCATGAATCCTATCCTATCAATGATTCTATCAATGATCATTGCTTTAAAAACACATTTCAACTTTATGGAGTGTTGTCATCTTCAAAATTTTAAAATTTGATGATTTAACATACAAATTGCCACCACCTGTATGTTTTACTCTAAATATTGTATACATTTTGTCAAAATAGAGTATATAACATAAATATAGTTCCACCAAAGATGCTTCTACCTGTGGACTTTCAGAAGACACAATCCCCTTGGCAGTGTTGATAACTGCTCAATCCTTGGGTGATATTGGCTCCATGAAAATTTCTAGTGTCAGACTTTTTTTCTTCTAACTCTTTAGGTGCTTTAGGCAGCAGTCGTGTCTGGATTTAATGAAGGAGACAAATTTTTATCTCACCACCCTTATTAAGAAATAATGTTGTAAGAAATAAACATTCTATCATAATGGTCAGGACAAGTTATGGTATACCTACTTGATATTGTTACCTTGTGTTTATCAGTGAAATTTTGCTGATTATAGTATAACTTTTTGTTGTTATTGGTGGTGGTGGTGGGTTTTTTGTTTGTTTTTGTTTTGTTTTGCTTCTGTTTTTTGTTTTTTTGAGACAGTCTCACTCGGTTGCTCGAGCTGGAATGCAGTGGCTCAGTCATGGCTCTCTGCATTCTAGACCTTCTGAGCTCAGTTGATTCTCCCACCTCAGCCTCCCAAGTAGCTGAATGTATAGGCACATGCCATCACACTGGACTAATTTTTTGTATTTTTTGTTGAGATGAGGTTTGGCCAAGTTGCCCGTACTGGTCTCAAACTCCTAGGCTCCAGCGATCTAGGGGGTATGCACATGTACCTTTGAATCTGAAATAAAATAACAGCATGTATATTTATGGTAGAGTGATTTATATTCCTTTGGGTATACACCCAGTAATGGGATTGATGGGTTGAATGGTAGTTCTGTTTTCAGCTTTTTGAGGAATCGCCACACTGCTTTCACAGTGTTTGAACTGATTTGTACTCCTATCACCTTGGCCTCCCAAAGAGCTGGGATTATAGGCATAAGCCATTGTGCCTGGGCTGTTTTTATTTTTAAATTAAATTTTTATTTTTTAGACGCAGGGTCTTGCTCTGTTACTCTGGCTGGAGTACAGTAGCATGATTGTAGTTCACTGCAACTTCGAACTCTTGGGCACAAGTGATCTTCCTGTATCAGCCTCCCAAGTAGCTGGGACTACAGGTGCGTGCCACCATGCCTGGCTAATTTTTAAGTTTTTTGGAGAGACGGGGTCTTGCTATGTTTCCCGGGATTATCTTGAACTCCTGGGCTCAAGTGATCCTCCTGCTTCAGCTTCCCAAAGTGCTGAGATTGTAAGCATGAGCCATTGCACCCAGCACTCTTATAATTCTTAAATTCCCTGGACTACACAATTCATAACAAACATTTTGTAGCGCCCATTATTCAGTGGGATTTTCTTTAGTAAATGATGTTCTGTTTTAAATATTAGAAAAATAGTTTTTATAAGGTATGAAATGACGTTAGATGAAAGGGAATTTTAGTTACACTAGAACACATTAGGCATATTACTTCATATAAAATACTAGCATGGTCCAGGCACGGTGGCTCACGCCTGTAATGCCAGAACTTTGGGAGACTGAGGTGGGCAGATCACCTGAGGTCGGGAGTTTGAGACCAGACTGACCAACATAGAGAAACCCCGTCTCTACTAAAAATACAAAAAATTAGCTGAGCGTGGTGGCGCATGCCTGTAATCCCAGCTACTTGGCAGGCTGAGGTAGGAGTATTGCTTGAACACGGTTAGTGAAGGTTGTGGTGAGCTGAGATTACACCATTGCACTCCAGCCTGGGCAACAAGAGCGAAATTCCATCTCAAAAAAAAAAAAAATACTAGCATGTAAAATATGCTGTTTATAGATTTAATGAGGTAATACATGATACAGAGCAGTTAGCTGGGTATCTGACATATAGTTAGCACTCAACAAATATTAGGTCTTCTTAGCACTTACTGATATCATGAGTGAAAAATGTGATATATGTCATACCCAAACAGTTTGCTTTTAGTAGACCTCTGTTCACATTCTGACTCTATCACTTGCTAAATTTCTTTATCTGTAAAATGTGTACAGTCATATCTACTTCATAGAGTGATTGTAAAAATTAAGTGAGTTAAAACATATGGAATAGTGTTTGAACTAGGTAAATACCCTATGTTGGCAACTGACATCCTTGCCTAACTTTTTGAAGTAGGCTTACTGCTGTTCTATCTGTGTAAGCCCTGTTGATAATTTAAAAAATCTTTTTACATTTCTACTAGTGTAAATTTGTAAATCTGCTAACATTCTTCTCTCCTTGGGGGCATTGGCAAGGGAAGAGAGAGTGATAGATCTTTCCAAAACTTTCGTCTTTTCCAGACCCTTATTTGTAAGCTCAGCCATCTTTTCAGAGCAGGCAAAGGTCTACAAGGTATGAACTGCAGGAGGAGTAATTCATTACTGCTCATTTATCCACGTTAAAAATGTAGTTTATTTTTTGGCCAGATACGTAATATATGCTTACTTAGGTAGCTCAATATTTGTTTTTAATTTTAAAACAGAAAATATTTAAAAGTATTAATACTTAAGTTACTACTCATTTGTGAGACTGAATGCCTAAATTATTTATAGAGAACGTGTAAAGATTAACAGAATGGTGTTTTTTTGCATTTCTGTTTCTAGTTGGTAGATAAACTTAATACCAACACTGAAATGGAAGAAGTAATGAATGAATACAATATGGTAAGAACATTTATAAATACAAGCAAATTTATCTATATAAGTCTTATCTTACAAAACAAAGCATTTATATCTAGAAATGGTTTGATGAAACTTTAAGTGCTATAGAGATGAATATTACTCTGATTGTAAATACCGCCATTATGTTGTATTCGGTGAGCTCCCTCAGTTGCTTTTTTAAATTTTCTTCCTGTTGGTTGGCTTTCCTAAGTGGATGTTTAGTGTCTGTCTACTGTGTTTGAACTGGCGTCACATGCAACATTAGTTAGGGAGTGCCATCTACATTTTCTTTTATAGATATTAGTTTATGATATTTCTGGCTTACTTTATGCACAAATGTTGCTGAATACTCAATGGTGACAAATGATAACTTTATATAGTTTTCGTAACCAGTGGAGAAAAATAAATAGATATGACTCCAGACATAATATTAATCTTTGATTGGTAAATGAGAATTTGTGTTTAACATGGACGTAACACTGGGAACTCCAAAAAGGGGGACGGCAGGAGGGCAATGAGGGTGGAAAAATTACTTCGTGGATACAGTGTTCACTATTAGGGTGATGGGATGGATTCCCTAGAGCCCAAACCTCACCATTATATAATATCTCCATGGAACAAACCTGCACGTGTACCCTTGAATCTAAAATAAAATAACAACAAATTTTTGTTCAATATGCCGAGATGAATTATTTTGTAGAAAACAATAAACATGTTAATAGCTAGCTTATTTTGATTCTAAGCATTTGGGTGAAAACAGCATATAATGTATAATTTATATCGTTTATAATATATTTACACAAATAAAGACTATTCTGTGAAGACATAGAATTTATAAAATGACTCTTCTGAATTTGAGGTTCTTTAAAACCATGATAATTTAGTTACTTTTAGCTTTACAACACAGGAGAATTCACTAATTAAGAATCGTATTTCAATGCCAGATGTGAAAAGTAAAAACCTGATGTGTTTTGTCAGTTGGTTGGGATGGGGGTCCATTTTCTAGGCTGCGTATGCACAGTTAGAATTAATTAGGCGTACTCAGATAATATCCTGAATGGTTCAGGAATAAAACTTGTGGTGGTTCTAAATTTAACATATTACTAATCAAATATTTATATAACACTCAATACATTCTTCAAATGCTGTTTACATAAATTTACTTGAATTATTTGACGGATCACTGAACAACAATGAATGTTTTTGGTATGAAATTACAGTGCTTCTTAAAAAGACTTTTAAAAAATCTGGTATTGTTTGTTAAATGAGACAATTACTGTATTTTTTTTCTTAAACCTTGTATGTGGCACTAGGATGATTATAATAATTTTTTATTTAGTTTATAACCAAAATAACCTACAAAAAATTTTGGTTTAATTTTTATTTGTTACTAACTTATGTGTTAACTGTTTATTCAGCTTAAAGCTCAAAATGATCGAGAAACACAAAGTATGGATGTCATATTTACTGAAAGACAAGCGTAAGTATAGCTAATTTAAAACTCAGATTCATAAGTGAGCTTCACCAGGTAGTTTAAATTGTGATTCATTTATTTCCTTTTAAATTTTCTTAGCAATTTCCCTGTTGCCTTTTTCATTTAAAAATATTGACAACACAAATTTTGTTGCTTATACATCTGTTATCTTCACTTACCGTTAGATGGCTAAATTCTGTATAAAGAATATTACTAAATAGTTTACGTAAATAGGATTATACTGCTGGGAGCTGAAAACTTCCAATGAACAAGAACATCTTTATATCTAGTATTTTTAGTTTTAACCTAGGCTTGTAACTAATTTGAATTGTGGTTTCAGGCCCAGTCTAGTAAAAGACACACTATTCGTTAGGAAGCTATTTACATTATTTCATTAGCATGGATATTTAATAGTTATATTAGCAATCTACATAATATACATAGATTATATGTGTATCTTTATATCCTGTGTAAAGAATAAATACCAACTAACACTGGAAATGTAGTAATTGTGGCAGTGGGAGTAATGCCTACAAAGGTAGTAATAGGTATGATGTAGTTAACTTCTTCATGTGTTTTGTCAGTTGACTGGGATGGGTCCATATCTTACCCTGGGTAGGCACAGGTTGAGTTAACTAGACATTCTCAGATAAAATCCTGAATGATTCAATAACAAAACTTGTGTTGGTTCTAAGGTCAAAAAGTTGATGAAGAATAAGTAATTTAGAACCAACACAGATTTTATTCTTGAATTATTTATTCTAAGGCAACACAAACACAGACGATGAGCTATGTTGTGTAAATACACATACAAGCACATTTTCTCCCAGAAATTTATTAATATTAGTCTCTTTGAGAGCAAGGACAATGATAAACTCAAATCACTGTATTCAATTACCAAAATTCAGTAACACCAAATACACTTGCTTGTTACCTCTGCATAAAACAGTAAATGTTTGATGATGAATAGATGTTAAAATACACTGAAAAAACATTTGAAAGATAAATGTAATTCTTCTGTTGATTAAAAACAGGAATCTCTTTCCCCCCACCTTTTTTTTTTTAAGAGAGTCTTGCTCTGTTGCCCATGCTGAATTGTAATGGCATGCTTATGGCTCACTGCAGATTTGAACTCCTGGTTCAAGGGATCTGGCCTCAGCCTTCCAAGTAGTTGAGACTACAGGTGCATGCCACTATGCCCAGCTAATTTTTTGTTTCTTGTGGAAAAGAGGTCTTGTTACGTTGCCCATGCTAGTCTCAAATTCCTGGTCTCAAGCAGTCCTCCTACCGTGGGCTTCTCAAGTGTTGGGATTACAGGCGTGAGCCATTGTCTCTGGCCACCGTCTGTCATTTGATGCTGCTGTAAAATGACGTGTTAGAAACTCAAAATACTTGCAGTCCTTTTCCTTTTACAAGGAAAATTTTGTTCACAGTAATCAAGCTCTAACTTGAAAATGTTTTTCTTTTTTTGGTTATCCTGATTTTAATCCATTTAGCAAATATTTGTCATTTACTATATGTGAGATATTGTCTTAGGTACTTCAAAGAATAAGAAATACATAAGCCATAATCCCCTGAAGACCTTAAAGAGTTTAGAACATTTAAGTTCTCATTTATTTAACCATTTATCTCCAAATTATATAATACCTAGTTCAGGTTTTAAATATTGTATTTAAATATTTTGCAGACATTTCATCTAAACACATAATTTCAGGAACAAAAGTTTAAGAATGTCATAGATTTTTATGTCTTTTTGATTTTTTTGATTAAGGAAAATGTTCAAATATGGTAATTTGTTCTAAAGATGTGTCCACATCGTTTAAAAACTATATCTGTAATTTGTGATTGAGGCTGAATGAAATTGGTTCTCCTGTCTGTTTTAAGCAGAAATTGAAATTAAGCACAAAAGTTGGCTAGGCTCAGTGGCTCATGCTTGTAATCCTAGCACTTTGGGAGGCTGAGGCAGGTGGATCACCTGAGGTCAGGAGTTCGACACCAGCCTGGCCAACATGGCAAAACCCTATGTCTACTAAAAATACAAAAATTGGCTAGGTGAAGTGGCAGATGCTTATAATCCCAGCTACTGAGAAGGCTGAGACACGAGAATCGCTTGAACCTGAGAGGCGGAGGTTGCAGTGAGCTGAGATTGCGCCACTGCGCTCCAGCCTAGGCGACAGAGCAAGACTCTGTCTGAAAAAAAAAAAAAAAAAAAAAAGAACAAAAATTATGGTTAGAAGTTTACTTTTATATAGAGCAGGAGAATAGATTTACTTTTTGTGTTAACCAGATGGACAGCATCTCCGTAACACAAAGATCTATCTTGACTCTACATGTCCAGAGCGACCAAGAAATGCCATACCTTGAGAAGGCAGTTGCAAAAAGCTTCTGTTTTCATTCTCTTTTGGTACAACCATTTAGTGTGGTCTGACCATCTGGTTTATTATGGAAAACTTGTCCATAAAAAGTTGGAAAACAGCCTCAATATATGACTACAACAATATGTAAGACACCTGGCTTTACTTCAGTTTCACAGGCTTGTTTGAACTAGTGATTCTCTTCTAATTCTACATTTTCTAGTTTGGTATTAGTCAAGATCAGTTGTCCTATAAAAATATATGTAAACATAGTTTTATACCCATTTATTTTTCTTTATTTGGTTAGATACTATTGAATACCCCATATTCAATAGAGGCCCTTGAATATAAAAGCTTAAGTGTAATCTTTGCTCCTCTGTAATTATATTTCATTTTGCTACATTTCCAAAATATTAATATTTGCATCCTATAATTAGGAAATATTTTGGGAGAATTATACATTATTTAGAAAAAGGTATTTTATGTTCCTATAATCTCATAATTGAGATTTAAAACGAAGCATAATTGGTATATAAAGAAATATTAGTCATAATATACTTATATCCTTTGTTGAAGACATGTTTCTATAAACACAAGTATGTATGTATCATAAATTAGTAAGTTCTTCTATTTTACAGGTATATCATCCTAAATAGTTTTTATTTTCTCTCAGTAGACATTTGTACTGAATTTATGATTTGTGTAACTTTCTAAATAACTCTTCAGTAGATTATGACATAGATCTATTTTATTTTAGTCTCTTTTCGCTAAGGAATTGTCAAGTACATACAAATTTTTAAAACTTTATTATAGAGAAATTTGAACATACACAGAAATAGCATATTATACCCTTATGTACTGAGCTCCCTGCTCCATCAGCTCATATTTAACCTTGCTCCGTCCATGCCTGTAGCCACTGTTCCATTCCATGTGTTATAATGAAGAAAATACCAGAAATATAATTTCACCCATAAATGTATTTCAGTGTTTCAGAGATACACTTATTTCTAAAAGACACAAATTCTTAATTTCTCTGCATATGAAGGTAAAATTACAGATTGTGCTACAGTTTTTAATGCCACTGTTTGCATTGATAAATTACTAAATTCTGATTGTAGCCAATTGATTATAAGGAATTGGTAAATAATTCACCTTAGACCCTTCCTATTGCGGTCTATAGGCCAGCGTTTTTCAAAGTATGTTCTTTGGATTGTTATGGAACTATGAGCTCTTATAAGATATAACTCAAAGAATGGGTTGTGTTGTCAAGTAAGTTTGAGAAATTTTTAATACCTTGCTCTTGAATAATCAGAGGACAGTTTGGCCTAGTAAAGTCTTATATAAATCCTGTGGTAAAGAATCTTGTTTCACTTTGTTTAAACCTAGTTTTTTATATAGCAATTTGACCAGATACCCTTTTCTTTCTTTCTTTCTTTTTTTTTTTTTTTTTTTTGAGACGGAGTTTCGCTCTTGTTACCCAGGCTGGAGTGCAATGGCGCGATCTTGGCTCACCGCAACCTCCGCCTCCTGGGTTCAAGCAATTCTCCTGCCTCAGCCTCCCGAATAGCTGGGACTACAGGCACGCGCCACTGTGCCCAGCTAATTTTTGTATTTTTAGTAGAGACGGGGTTTCATCATGTTGACCAGGATGGTCTCGATCTCTTGACCTTGTGATCCACCCGCCTCGGCCTCCCAAAGTGCTGGGATTATAGGTGTGAGCCACCGCGCCCGGCCTCAGATACCCTTTTCTTCTGTCAATACTTGTGAATGTCTCTCTGGAAATTAGTATTCTAGGAAAACAATTTGGGAAACATTGCTATCTCCACCAAATAGATAGAAACAGCTGTCCATGGACGAACTGAAGATTCCTCAGTCCCAGCACAGACCAATTGAAAAAAAAGTCTCCCAGTCCCAGCACAGACCAATTGAAAAAAAAGATTCATACATAATTGTAATGCCCACTTTGGAAGCCACTATGATGTTAAACTATAGTGATACTGCATTATGGTGACAGCCTTTCGTCATAACCAGAATCAATAGTGAGTTATTAGGGATATGTCTGAACATTGTCCTTGTGGCTTAAATTTTAAGGAAATTTAATGTGCTAATTCAGGAAGCATTTCAAAAAAAGATTTTCCAACTCTGTGAATTTATTCTGTGAGCGTAAAATCAATCTTAGTGTATTATTTAAGCTGTCTCTGTTCCCTCACTTTGACTTACCGTATATTAATAAATCCCAAACATTTATTTCTTTACTGATTGAGACCGTAGTATAATTTAATACATATTATGTCAAATATCTCTGTTAACATGAGAATCCATTCATTTTAATTAATGAATAATTTACTTTAAGCCTTTTTTTGAGAGGGAGTCTTGCTCTGACACCGGGCGGTGGAGGTTGCAGTGAGCTGAGATTCTTCTGCCTCAGCCTTCTGAGTAGCTGGGACTACAAGCTCCCACAACCAGGCCCAGATCATTTTTGTATTTTTTAGTAGAGACGGGGTTTCACCATGTTGGTCAGGGTGGTTTCAATCTCTTGACCTCGTGATCCGCCCGCCTCGGCCTCCCAAAGTGCTGTGATTACAGGCGTGAGCTAACGCTCCCTGCCTACTTTAGGCCTTTTTACTAGTCTGTATGGTTACCTGAACACTGTTAAGAATAGTAGTGCTAGTATTGTAGACTAACTATGTAACTGTCAGCTACCAAGGAGTGTCAGTTATTGTATTTGCACCCGCTTGCTCAGTACAATGCAGATAACATAATTTTATGATATTCATGTATGTCGTAATTAATATGAATGTCTGCTAACTATATTTTGGTATGCCACATGGTAAAATCCCCATATCTAAACTGTGAGTGAGCTTCTAACTTTGTTTTAAAAAGCAAACTTTGAAAAAAAATTAGTTTTCTTCACATAATTCATGGACATCTATATATTTGTCTTCAATAAATCCATCATCATCTATCACAAATGAATGTAATTGTTCAAATATTACTGTAGTTTCTTCAGAGTTTGTTTCTGGCATCTGGGAAAGAGGGCTTGGATTTCCAGTAAAACTATCTTCATAGGTTTCTGCTTCATGCTCTTCTAGGCGATGATGATTATAACTAAGCAGAATATTGTACCATATTGGGCATTTGATAGCAATAAAAATGAGAAGTGAAGTCATGAGTACAGTGACAACAACACCAACAAGAAAAGCCCAACTTTTTCCAAGAGGTTCATGTTCTTTAATGGAATACAGAGAGGAGAGAGAAAGAAAATTTGTTAAGTTGGCAAAATAATCATAATCATATACCCATTATCGTCAGTATTTGTATTAGAAATAAACATACATTGTAGTTTTCTTCAGACAAATTTTGTATGATGAAAGAATTCCCTTTTTTTAAAAATAGCTGTCTTTGCAATTTTGTTACCTTTTTACCTAAGACCACATTGATTTATGCTCATTAGGATTTGTGATTAGACTAGTTAAAACAAAGGCTCAGAGAAGTTAAATAATTTGCACAATGGTGTTTAGCTTGTAACTAGCAGAGCCTAGTTTGGAAAACCAATATTTTATAAATCTTTAGTTGAGATGAGAAATTGTTCTTTTACATTTTTTATAGAAATTTAAAATAAAGATAGCTATCTCAGTTTATTTAGTATGATACATTTAGCAGTGTTAATATTCAGAGTCAGCGTACATTACCTGAATTTCTTGTTAAGTTGTTCAAAGAGCTATTAAATGTTGAATTGCTGATGGGCTGAAAATGAATATAAAGATCTTCAGTGATAAGTGAAGAAAATTTTGAGTGGCATTCAGCCGTATGAGGTACTGTTTTGATATTGTAGCTCTTCAGGCTGTTGGGGTAGCTACACGTGGTGATGTTCTCGTTTTCTAGTAAACCAGAAAGAATAATATTTATTGTAGAAAAAAAATAGTTAATAACATTTTATAATTATTTTATCTGGAATTTTTGACATATATGTCATTCTTAAAGGCATTGTAAGAAAGAAATTCCTGTTGTATTTGTCTAGCAACACAATGAAAGAATGATACACATTTCTGTTTATTACGTTATTTTATGAATACGGCCTAAATGCAGAATCGGTTATTATTTAGTTTGTGTTAGTATTGATATTATTATTAATATAGTGGTTATAATCCAGATCTCAGGCACACATAGGTTTGCAGTTAAAATAGGCCACTTGTTTTCACTTAGTCTTAAAAAATTAGTCTTACATACTGACTTGGCTAACAATACATGAAGTGACATTATCATCTCACGTATATAGAACATTTAAATTTCTTAATTTTTCCCCCTGGTATTGGAGAAGGAGAGCATCTATGCAGCAGTTACTTTTTAGTGTTTCTTCCTGTTTTGCTTAAACACAATTGCTTCCTTTTCTTTTCTTTTCTTTCTTTTTCTTATTTTTTAAGATGGAGTCTCACTCTGTTTCCCAGGCTGGAGTGCAGTGGCACGATTTCGCCTCACTGCAACCTCCGCCTTCTGGGTTCAAGCAATTCTCCTGCCTCAGCCTTCTGAGTAGCTGGGACTACAGGCATGCGCTACCACACCCAGCTAATTTTTGTATTTTTAGTGGAGACAAGATTTCACCATGTTGGCCAGGCTGAGTCTCGAACTCCTGACCTCAGGTGATCCACCCACCTTGGCTTTCCAAAGTGCTACGATTACAGGCATGAGCCACTGCGCCTGGCTGTTTCCTTTTCTTTAAAATATGATATGAGAGATTTTTCTGTGGTGAAACATTGAATTAATCACATTTTGGTTTTGCTTAATTAAAATTATGATAGCTTACCTAATGTCACATTTGATGTGTTCAACCAGTTCTGTAAATTAAATAGACTACAAGAGCAGTTCCATAGGTTTCCATATAAAGTTATTAATTCCAGATGAAATAGTGGTGGTACCTCCAAATAGCTTATCAAATTGCCTTGCAGATTCAGTAGTTTTAGGTTTCTCAGAGGCACAAATATATCAGCATTCAGTTGTTCTATTTTGTTATGGCAAAGATATAACTGTGTTAGCTTATTTAAGCCTAAAAATGCGCCTTGTTGAATTACATATATGGAATTTCTACAGATATTTAAAATTTCTAGATTGGAGAGGTTACAAAAACTGTTACTATATAAGATAGTAACATTGTTCTCAATCAAATAGAGCTCTGTGAGTAAAAAGTATGTTTGTATGATTTGTGTGTCCCTAACATTAAGAGTAATTTGGTTATAACTGAGATCAAGTATAGTAACATCTTTCTTGATATCTGCTGGAATCAAGGAATAATTCTTTTCAGTGAAATTATATTGAACTTCCTAAAAAAAAGAAAAAAAGAAATGCATTAATTAGAAAAAGTATTAATAGAATTTCCCTCAAATTTCATATTTAAGCACTTAGACATTAGAAGGAAATTGTTTTGGAAAAAAAAAACTACTATCTAATCTTCTGGTGTTGTAGTAGAGCACATCTTTTTCTTTCTTTATTGGGATGAAATACTAAAAACTAAGGACATCCTGATACATAAGATTGAGGAAAGAGATTCCAATTTTTTATACAGATATTTTCCAACTGTTATTATAAAATCATTATAGAGGGAGGCCGAGGCGGGTGGATCATGAGGTCAAGATATCGAGACCATCCTGGTCAACGTGGTGAAACCCCGTCTCTACTAAAGATACAAAAAATTAGCTGGGCATGGTGGCGCGTGCCTGTAATCCCAGCTACTCAGGAGGCTGAGGCAGGAGGATTGCCTGAACCCCGGAGGCGGAGGTTGCGGTGAGCCGAGATCGCGCCATTGCACTCCAGCCTGGGTAACGAGCGAAACTCCATCTCAAAAAAATAAAATAAAATAAAATCATTATAGAAAGTAATAATATTGGTATATTCCCATTTATATATGTGGAAATACATGGTCAATATTAATTCTGTTAACATTTAATATTTCAGTGTGCATGATTGCTTTATAATGAGGAACTATATGAGTTTTTAAAATCAGCAGAGCTAACAACATTATACCTAGGGCTGTTAAATAATTAATAAGTAGGCTGGGCATGGTGGCTCACGCCTGTAATTTGGGAGGCCAAGGTGGGAGGATCACCTGAGGTCAGGAGTTCAAGACCAGCCTGTCCAACATGGCGAAACCCTGTCTCTACTAAAAATACAAAAAAAAAAAAAACAAAAATTATCCAGACATGGTAATCTCAGCTACTTGGGAGGCTGAGGCAGGAGAATCATTTGAATCCAGGAGGAGGAGGAGGTTGCAGTGAGCCACGATTGCGTCATTGCACTCCAGCCTAGGGACACAGCAAGACTCTGTCTCAAAAAAAAAAGTTAAAATTAATAAATAACACTCAATATATAGCTTTCTGGGTTTAACAGCTCAAAGTTTGGTGTTTTAAAAGGAAATATTGATCTTTATCAGAAATGGAGCCATGCATTGAATTTAAAAAGCCACACAACCTGAAGTGTTTTCTTTATGTGGATATAGGTGGAAAGAAAGAAAGAGTTTTTGTTATTACTGAATAGTAAACGAAGAATAAAACTAAGAATAGTTTTTGTTTATTACTGTTTTTGCAGTTAGAATTTTTCACCAAGAATAATGCAATAGGAATTTCCCTCATAAATATGTGATTAAAAAATGTTTCCTACAATAAGTTTTTAGTCTTGTAATTAATTTATGATTTTATAGTGAAAAATTTCAGAACTCTCCCTTTAATCAACTTTTAAAGAACTCAGTTTTTGTTTGTTTGTTTTTTGAGATGGAGTCTTGCTCTGTTGCCTAGGCTGGAGTGCAGTGGCACGATCTCGGCTCACCACAACCTCCACCTCCCAGGTTCAGGTGATTCTCCAGAGTCAGCCTCCAGAGTAGCTGGGACTACAGGCACGTGCCACCATACCCAGCTAATTTTTGTATTTTTAGTAGAGATGGGGTTACACTGTGTTGGCCAGGCTGGTCTCGAACTCCTCCTGACTTTGTGATCCGCCTGCCTCGGCCTCCCAAAGTGCTAGTATTAGAGGCATGAGACACCCTGTCCAGCCAAGAACTCAGTTTTTTAAAATGAAGGCTACTTTTGTCAAATTGGAATTTGGACATACACAGCTAAGTAAACTTAGTTTTAATAGGTCAGATTTTCTTTGCTTGCTTATTGCCTTTTGATATTTTATGAAATATATAGAAAATATACCTTTGAAAATAGTTTTACTCCTTTGATTGTAAAAACTTACTGTTTTAGAAGACTGGCTTTTGTCTGATAATAGTATCATGGCGAGAGTCCAAAAGAGGATTGTGATGCCTGTGGCTTTCATGTTGCAGACCTGATAGAAAAGAGAGTATTTTCGTTTCAGTTGAAGACTAGAACTTTAGAGACTTTTTTTTTTTTTTTTTTTTGAGGCAGTGTCTTGCTCTTTTGCCAGGTGCCAGGCTGGAGTGCAGTGGCGCAATCTCCCCTCACTGCAACCTCTGCCTCCTGGCTTTAAGCAGTTCTCCTGCCTCAGCCTCCCAAGTAGTTGGGACTACAGGTGCATGCCACCACGCCCAGCTAATTCTTGTATTTTAGGAGAGATGGGGTTTCACTGTGTTGGCCAGGATGGTCTCGGTCTCTTGACCTCGGGATCCGCCCACCTCGGCCTCCCAAGTGCTAGGATTACAGACATGAGCCACCACGCCTGGGCCAAACTTTAGAGATTTTAAGGACATTTTGATTTTTTCCCATTTTGAATCTGTTTATTTTTTGTGTGTGAGACAGGGTCTCACTCTGTCACCAGGCTGGAGTACGGTGGCATGATCACAGCTCACTGCAGCCTTGGTCTCCCAGGCTTAAGCAGTCCTTCCAACTCAGCTTCCTAAGTAGCTGAAACACAGGCATGCACTACCATGCCTGGCTACTTTTTAAATTTTTTGTAGAGATAGGGTCACCCTATGTTACTCAGCCTGGTCTCAAACTCCTGGATGTGATCCATTTCCTTCTAACCACCTGCACGGCGTTGAAAAGTTCTGGGATTATAGACTTGAACTACTTCTCTGGGCCTTTCAAATCTACTTATTCTTGAAATACATAATACGTGAAACAAGTGCATGGCCATTCACCATCCTTGCACTCCAATCTTAACAAACTAGAAAGCCCCTTTAAAGAATGAAAGACTTATTTTTATTTTTTCTTTTTAGAGAGAATTAATATTTTTAAGCGTGTCATGTTAGTTTCCAGATCTCATGAAAGGAATTTTAAAGTAATTTAAGTGGTTGTAAATTTAAAAAATTTAATATATAAGTGCACAAAGTTCAGGAAAATATATATTTATATATGCATGTTTAAGTGTATGCTTACATTGATGCTCTTGATTTTTTCAAATTTAGGCATTATCTATTAGTATTATCTATTACTTATAGCTGTGGGAGACAAGAATCTTTAGCACTCTTTTTTCCCCATAGTAATTTTTAAAAATTTTATTGATGCGTGATATACATATATAGTTTTGGGGTACGTGTGATAATGTAATGCATTCATATAATTTTTTAAGATCAAATTAATGTACTTGGGGTATCCATTACCTTAAATATTTGTCTTTTCTTTATACTGGAAACATTCAAATTCTCTTCTAGCTGTTTTTAAATGTACAGTAAATTAGAGGAGAGGAAGAGCATCAGGAGGAATAGCTAATGGATGCTGGGCTTAATACCTAGGTGATGGGTTGATCTGTGTAGCAAACCACCATGGCACACATTTACCTATTTAACAAACCTGCACATCCTGCACATGCGCCCTGGAACTTAGAAGTTGAAGGGAAAAAAATTATTGTAAACTATAATTACCCTACTGATCTAACAGTAGGCCTACTTTTTTAAGCAAACTGTATGTTTATATGCACTAATAAACTTCTCTGCATTCCTCCCTCCCCACCATCCTTTCCACCAACCTTTCCAGCCTCTAGTAACCACCAGTCTACTCTTAATCTGTATGAGATTCACTTTTTTAGCTTCCACATGCAGGTGAGAATGTACGATATTTGTCTTTCTGTGCTTGGCTTATTTTACTTAACATAATGACCTCCAGTTCCATCCATGTTGCTGCAAATGTCAGGATTTCATTTTTTTATGGCTGAATAATATTCCTCTGTGTGTGTGTGTGTGTGTGTGTGTGTGGGTGTGCGCGCGCGCGCGTGTGTGCGTGTGTGCGTGTGTATGCTACATTTTCTTTATCCATTAATCTGCTGGTACTCACTTAGGTTGATTCCATAGTTTGGCTGTTGTGAATAGTTCTGCAATAAGCATGGGAGTGCAGTTATCTCTTCAATATATTCATGTTTTTTTTTTCCAGCTGTATACCCAGTAGAATTGCTGGATCATACGTATATTTTCAGTTTTTTGAGAAACTTTAATACTGTTCTCCAGAGTAGCTATTCCAATTTACATTCCCAACAGTGTATGAGGCTTCCCCTTTCTGCACATCCTCATCAGCATCCATTATTGCCTGTCTTATTGAATAGAAGCTACTTTAATGGGGGTGAAATTATACCTCATTGTAGTTTTGATTTGCATGTCCCCAATGATTACTGATGTTGAACATGTTTTCCACATACTTGTTTGCCTTTTGTATGTCTTTTGAGAATATTCAGTTCTTTTGCCATATTTACTCTTTTTATTTGTTTGTTTTTGGCTAGTGAGTTGTTTGAGCTCCTCATATCTTCTGGTTACTAACCCATTGTTAGATGGGTCATTTGCAAAGATTTTCTCTCATTCTATGGGTTGTCTCTTCACTTTGTTGATTATTTCCTTTGCTGTGCAGAAGCTTTTTTTGCTTAACAAAATCCCATTGGTATGTTTTTGCTTTAGTTTCTCGTGCTTTTGAGGTCTTACACAAAAAAATCTTTGTCCAGACCGGTGTTCTAGAGCAATTCCCCAGTGTTTTCTTGCAACAGTTTTATAGTTTGAGGTCTTAGAGTTAAGTCTTTAATCCATTTTTATTTCTGGATATGGCAAGAGATAGGAGTCTGGTTTCATTCTTTCGTATATAGTTAGCCAGTTTTTCCAGCACCATTTATTGAAACAACTGTTCTTTCTCTATTGTATGTTCTTGGCACCTCTGCTGAAGATGAGTTGGTGTAAATGCATGTATTTATATCTGTCTGTCTTTATACCAGTACCATGTAGATTTGGTTACATTGTAGAAAATTTTGAAGTTAGGTAGTGTGATGCCTCCAGCTTTGTTACTTTTTGCTCAGGGTTTTTTTTTTTTTTTTTGGCTATTTTGGAATCTTTCATGGTTTCATATGAATTTTAGGATTTTTTTTTTCTACTTCTATGAAGAGTGTCACTTTATTTTGATAGGAATTACATTGAATCAGTAAATTGCTTTGGGTAGTACTGATATTTTAACAGTGTTCTTCCACTCCATGAGCATGGATTATCTTTCCATTTTTTTATATCCTCTTCAACTTCTTTCATCAGTTTTTTATAGTTTTTGTTATACAGATCTTTCACTTCCTTGGTTAAATCGATTCCAAGGTATTTTATATTCTTTGTAGCTATTGTAAACAGGCTTGCTTTCTTGATTTCTTTTTCAGATTCTTCACTGTTGGCATATGCAAATTCTACCGATTTTTTTATGTTGATTTTGTATCTGGCAACTTTACTCAATTCAGTTTAAATTCTTACAGATTTTTTGTGGAGTATTTAGGTGGTTTTTTTTTTTTTTTTAAGTATAAGATCATGCCATCTGTAAACAAGGCTAACTTGACTCCTTCTTTTGCAATTTGGATGCCTTTTATTTCTCTCTCTTGCCTAATTGCTCTGGCCAGGACTTCTAGTACTGTGTTGAGTAAAAGTGGTGAAAGTGGGCATCCTTGTGTTGTTCTAGCTCTTAGAGGAAAGGACTTCAATTTATCCCCATTCAGAATGATGTTAGCTGTGGGTGCGTCATATATGGCATTTGTTATCTTGAAGTGTGTTCTTTCTGTGCCCAGCTGAATGAGAATTTTATCATAAAGGGATGTTGAATTTTATCAACTGTGTTTTCAGCATTCATTAAAATAATTGTATGGTTTTTGTTCTTGGTTTTGCTAATGTGATGTATCATGTCTATTTTATTTTATAATAATAATTATTTAAGTAGAGTCTTGCTTTGTTATCCAGGGTGGTCGGAAACTCCCGGACTCAAGTGATCCTTGCACTTCAGCCTCCTAAGAAGCTGGGATTACAGGCATGTGCCACTGTGCCCAGCTTATCATGTGTATTAGGCTGTTCTTGCACTGCTATAGTGAAATATTTGAGACTGAGTAATTTATAAGAAAAGAGATTTAATTGGCTCACAGTTCTGCAGGCTGTACAGGAAGCATGGTATAGTTCATTTTTTGGGGAGGCCTCAGGAAGCTTATAGTTCTGGGAGAAGGTAAAAGGAGAGCTGGTACATCACATGTTAAAATCAGTGCGGGAGCAAGAGAGTGGGAGAAGAGGTGCCACACACTTTTAAACAACCAGATCTCTTGTGAACTCAGAGCAAGATCTCACTTATCACCAAGGGGATGGCCCAAAGCTGTTCATGAGGGATCCGCCCCCATGATCCAAACACCTCCCACCGGGCTTCATGTCCCACAGTCAATATTACAATTCAACATGAGATTTAGATGGGGACAAATATCCAAACTATGTCATCATGCTTATTGATTTGCATATGTTGAACTACCTTTGCATCTCTGGAATGAATCTCACTTGATAACAGTGAATAATCTTTTTAATATAATGTTGAAATTTGGTTTGTTCTTACTGAGTTGAGAGTTTTTGCATCTGTGTTCTTCTGGGACATTGGCCTGTAGTTTTCATTTTTGTTGTGTCCTTGTCTTGTTTTGGTATCAGGGTCATACTGATCTTGTAGGATGAGTTTGGAAAAATTTCCTCCTTTTTAATTGATTTTGGAGAGTTTGAATGGAATTCGTATTAGTTCTTCTTTAAATATTTTATAGAATCCAACAGTGAAGTCAATGTAAATAGACTAAATTCTCCGATTAAAAGGCATAGTGCTGGCTGGGCGCGGTGGCTCATGCTACAACAATCCCAGCACTTTGGGAGGCCGAGGCAGGCAGATCACGAAGTCAGGAGTTCAAGACCAGCCTGACCAACATGGTGAAACCCTGTCTCTACTGAAAATACAAAAATTAGCTGGGCCTGGTGGCAGGTGCCTGTAATCCCAGCTACTTGGGAGGCTGAGGCAGGAGAGTCGCTAGAACCCAGGAGGCAGAGGTTGCGGTGAGCCCAGATCACACCACTGCACTTCAGCCTGGGCCATAGAGCAAGACTCAGTCTCAAAAAAGAAAAGGCATAG